ATATATATATATAATATAGGAGCAGCTATTTGGATGCAAAGAAATTCTTGTTGCCTGGCTTCCATAATTTGCATTCATTGTCATGAAGAAGGCATGCAGGTTAGAAAATCCTAATGCAGTCAAAACTCCTAATCTGCATGTGTATTCAAGTCGAGGCCCAAAGTTTTTAAGCCATTGGATCAGCATGACAGACAGATGGCTTTTTTGTCAGAAAGCGGTCAAGCCAAGGTCCACAATGGCAGACTACATATTCTCTTAGTACAGGTTTCCCTTAAAATTCCAGAATATTTTGGACTTCCTCTTCATCCCATGGTATACTTAAGATCTCTTTTATAGTCTTCTGTGGGCAAACGATGAAGGGAGCAAACTGAAGGTAAAGATCGATAGACCTAGGAACTTGCTCTGACCATCATAGCAGCAATCTGCATTCTAAACTTTCCTTCCCAAATTCCTGGAATTTTCTAGAATAACCCTTTGATGAAAGATTAGTCACTGGACTACACAATGTGTGCATTTATTTCCTGACTGGTGAGGTGAAGCAAGTGTTTGTTAAAGAAGTCGTCTCGCCTTTTATTATTTCTCACATCTCAATCACCAAACTCCCACTGTATATATTGCTCTTTATCCTATGCTTGTGTGTAGTACAAACTGAGATACAGACTCTGACAGCTCCTCTTTATTCCTGCAAAGGAGACAGGAATAAAGAGGAGTGAGCTGTCATGTCTGTATCTCACTTTCTACTACACACTGAAGCATGGGGTAAAATGCAACATACACTGTGGGAGTTAGGTGACTGAGCTGTGAGAGGTGAGACTTCTTCTTTAAGGCCAGTTTCTGCTGGAAACCCTTATGCATATTGTAATCTTCCTAACCTCTTCCCTGGCTTTTCACTTTTCTTTTCTTCCTTCAGGTGTCTCTCCTTCCCTTCTTACTGGTAGCAGCCCCCTTCACCTCAGAAGTGGGCTTTAGATGCTCTCTTCCAAGCAGCTTGCTAACTGCTGTGTAGCTCTGTAACACCAGGTAGACTATCTACTGCCATTTTGCTTGTTGCATCCACTGCATTCCTGCATCTTGTGCTCTATGCAATATTCCCGTGAACCTTCATCCTTCCATGTGCATTAATACTTATGGCAGTTTGTTATATAGGATGTACACTATGGTGTAAGGTAAGCTGTAGCAGACTGTTTCATTGGTTATTACATTGGCATTTTGGAACAGGTGGCTTCATTTTGGTAATAAAGTGATCTGCAGAGCTTTTTATAAATGCCCCATCATATGTGTTGCATTATTAAGTTGATATTAAAGGTAGACTCTGTGCAGCTGTAGAAAAAATGCAGTTACATAGGCCTTTGAAAAACATAATTATATTTACTTTTACATGCTGTTGGTGTAAGTATTGGATATCGTGATATCGGCTTCCCAAAATTCCCAGCAAACAAGACTGAGAGGGAGGGACAGCAGCTAAGAGTTTTTTCAGGCTCCACTGCATTGCATGGTGCTGCACTAACTTAGTGTAGAGGGATGCATTTGACTCACAAGACAAATGCGCCATGCGTTCAGGAAAAATGCATTTGAGATGTACTTTTACCTGGAGCTGTATTGAGAAACCCAATGCAATGCATGGCATAAGCAACAATAAGTGCTCCTTATGATCCATATCAGGATTCAAACTCTGCATTTCCAATCCATCAAAAATACTTCTCAGATGTCTTCAAAAAGTCAGAAGCAAAACACAGCTGTACACTAACCCTAAGCAGGGAACACGCTGAGAGAAAGGAGAAAGCTGAGTGAAGGCTGCTCCTTCAGTGTCCAAACAGCAGGCTGGTAGTTGTATCCTGGAACAAGCTGTATTGCTTAAAGTGACACTAAACTCAGGAGTTAAATCTTAAAAAATGCATTCAAGTACCCTAACTATTAACAAAAAAATTATTTTATTTTATTTATATATCACTCAGCTGTAGATCCTTAAATCATCTCTGCATTTCTGCTAACACTGTCCTTCTGGAGGGTGGCTACTTTTGTTCCCCATGGTCCCTGTGTGTGCTGTAAAGTAGGCACGCTCCAAGTTCGCTCCTGTGATGGACTACAATCTCACTTTGTTTAATAATTTGTATTGAGATTGTAGTCCATCACAGGAGCGATCTTAGAGTGGTAAAACACAAGCGATAAAAACAAGCAGTGAAAAGTCCCATTTTGCACCAGGATCTCACCACTTGCAAAGCAACAGACATGTGCTAGGATCAATTCTTTGCAGATCTTTATTAAATACCAAGCACGTTTTCACGCTGTTGCTTTCTAAAAATGGCAATTAGACAATGTTATAAGGCCAATTTGGATTTTTTTAAAAACAACTGCTTTCAATAGTTCCTGTTATAGAGGCGCTGTCACCTTGCACGTGCAGTGAGGGTGGTACCGCTGGCACAGTTGAACAGAGGGCAGTTTTTAAGAAAAAGACGAGCCCTTCCTTAACCCCCTTCCTGCTTATAATTTTTTTTTCTCTGCACAATGCGTTTGACAAGGATAGGTTAATTAACATCCTTCCCTTTTAAGGCCTGGTTCACACCTGGGCGTTTTACAGCACGTTCCTACACTCTGTAAAACGCTCAACATGTGAAAACCAATGATTGCCTATGGGCATGGTTCCCACCGGGGCGTTTTACAGCGCGTAGGAACGAGCTGCAAAACGCCCTACGCCCAAAGAAGTACAGGAGCTTCTTTTGGGGCGTATTTGCCGCGCGTATCCATTGGGATACAGCCACGTAGCCCTCAGAAACACACGTTTGTCGCGCATTTTTTTTACCGCGGTAAAAATGTGCGGCGACAAACGCGCATATTCGATACACCTAGGTGTGAACCCAGCACGAGAGCAAGCAGTCGACACTTTGCACAGCTGCCCATTCTCAGTCTTAAAGCTGGCCATACACTGTAATATTTTCTTTATTCAACTTGCGGGCTAAAGCAAAGAGAAAATATTAGTTTCCTTCATCAAAGCTTACGAGCGTTGATCGAGGAAATCCCTGCTGTTTCCTCTGTATTCTGACAGCTGTCGCTCTCAGAATGCCCGAATGGAGCTGGCAGCTCATTGGCTGCTGGCTCTGTTTGTTTGAAAATTTTGCAACTGCCTCCTTCAATCAGCTGAGCGAGGGGTGCTGGCCTAAAGAAGTCAACAGCGGCAACCACTGTGCGAATTCCAGTTGGTTTATTCATGAACTGCCCGAAATTCATATAGTATATGTCCGACTTTACTGTCAATTTCAGCTAGGGTCTCCAATGACAATTGGGAAACATCAGGGTTCCCGATTATGTCAGATCCGACAAACTGATCTCATGCAGGCTTGAGGCTTCAATGACAGAAATTAAAGCCTTTAGGCTGCACATGAACACTGTCACCTTTTAGGCTGCAGTGTTTATCTGTGGTGCCATCTATTAATAATGAAGCGGTCCGATTTTAGAATTTTTTTCTTCCATTTGCCCATTTCATAAAAACAGCACTTTTTAAATAACACACTGTACCAAATAAAAGCCGTATAGGTTTGAAAAAGATCTAGAAAAAAAGGGTATGCAAAATCATTGCCAAGTTACAGGTGAAACTCGAATAATTAGAATATCGTGCAAAAGTAATTGCAGTAAGTGCTGCAAAAGGGGCCCAAACCAAGTACATATGCATGCTTGTACTTTTCAGAGGTCCGATATTGTTCTATGTACAATCCTTGTTTTATTGATTGCATGTAATAATCTACTTTTTTTGCTTGTCTTAGGACCTGGCGTTGCTGGCTACCTTACTGCAGGGTCTTCATCAACTGTTATGCCCAACGCGCCACCACCAGTGGACCATGAAGTAGGAGATCTCGGATAGACCACGAAGACTTTAAACCAATGAGGATGCAAATAGACCTAATCGCTAATTGTTGCAGGGTTGATTGAAAGGACTTTATTTTCTGCCTTCCTTGTTTTACAAAGAAAATTGTTATTCCTTTTTGTAATAAATATATTTTTATTTAGGGATAAAGAAATAAATACATCTGGGATGTGTGATTATGACATAGCATCACTATGTATCATAAACTTTGAAAGCACTCTGTAATCAGCTGTCTGGTTACACAAACTTTTTGTTGTCTCCTTTTTTTTTTTTGTATCTAAGCACATTCTGTTCCTTTTGCATTTGTTTACAAGACTGTGAATCAAAAATAATAATCTCCCTCTGTTCGAAGTTTTATATTCCACGAATTAGCAAAGCTGCGGGATAGAAGGAAGGAAGTCTGAAGGGCATTCTTTTTCCGTTTTCTGCCATGTTTGTCGTGGTTGGGCTCACTGAACAGTACCAGTTTCTGACAGTGTTCAAGTTCCTTATTTGTGTCCTTTTACTGTTTATTAACACTATCCTCTCCAGAGAGGAGAGAAGAGGATATTCCCGTGTACAGCATAGCTTTACCAAATAATAAAAAAAAAGTGAATATGAAAATGTCAGCCTGTTATGTAAGAACTTAGTGTAATAGTGACATGATTCCTACATTATTATCCAGTATATACAGCTTTCTATGAATGTACATTATACAGATCATTCATTCGTGTACATAAAATTTTAAGAAAATAAAGGGAATTGACAACCTTAATGTAATTTTTGTCAAATGCTGTAAAATTTTATTTAAAACAGTAGCATGCTTTATCATTTTATAAAAGACTAGAGTAACGACTAACTTGGAGAAGAAGCGCTTAAGACGGGAAATTATTCCAATACACAAATCTATCAATGGGGACTGCAGTGTCAGGAATAAACTGTTTAAGGGCCTGTTCACGCGACGTCCGTTTTCTGTGCTGACCCGATCCGTACGCTCCTGCACTAAATATGTATCCCTATGTGTTTTACGGGCTACAGTTCTCACGTGCGCAGTCCGTTCAGGTTACGACAGAAAAAATACTGCATGTCACATTTTGTCCGGTCAGGAAACGCAACGGAAACGGAACGCAATGCAGCTATGCAAAAAAAAAAAATGAGGTAAACACATGAACTGCAAACATTTTGAACATGCCCTAAAGCTCATTTTCACTTTTGCAGAGGTATCTAAAAAAAAAACGAAACAAAAAAAAACATGGCAGCAATGTCCAAGTATACATTAAGTAGGCATATGCAGTTGCTATATATAAACACAGAAACTTATGTTAACTTTCCTCTTCATATCCTCATGAAAATGGCCACCTCTGTGCTTTGCAAGCAATCTGTGTATATTACAACTGAGCTCTCCACCCCCTATTCAATAGTATCCATAGTGGCACCCCCCGCATAGTGTATTGTGTGTGAAGGCAGAGCTGGTGTTTAGTGATCATGTTATATATTTACCGGATGGGAGCAGCTGTTTACAGCCTGCTCTACAATCTGACCCAAGTGTCAGACTGAATTTCCTGTGGAGAAAATGTTGAATTTCTAGGATTCAGGCCTAATAAAACATTCAAAAATTAAAGCCTGCCAGGTGAGTCATGTCAATGTGCACACATATACATCATCACTGCCCCTCTACAGTGCAGTAAATGCCAATCACTTACAAAAGTAGAAATGGACTTTAAGCTAAGGACTTCGAAGAAGACAAGTGGCTACAAGATAAAGTTTGATGAGAAGCGATTTAATCTTAAACTGTGTAAAGGAAAGATTTAATAAAGTAGATATTAAAATATTATTAAAAAGGTGGAACTTTCTTCCACAGTTGATGGTATCAGATGAGAGCATTGATAAGCTCCGCAAACATTTGGATGGGTTTCAGTTCACAAAATATACAGGGGTTTGGGTGTTCATAATGACGTACACACACACCCCTCCAATAGATTGAACTACATGGATCTGTGTCTTTATTTTTATTTTTTCTTTCAACTTTACAAACTATGTAAAAGGTCCTGACTGACCTTGAGGTACTCCTTTGCTGTCAAAATACCCTGGTCGCAGGATGCAGAAATAAAATCCTATTTTTAGATTTTACTGGCAACAAAGCAAGGATGCCCTTTAAATTCTGTTTGCTGTGTTTTTCTGCAAAAGAACAACACTGGTCACTGCCAGGACACAGAAAATGTTGCAGATAGAAGAAAAATGGTGCCAATAATATGGTGCCTCCCCTGCCCATCCACAGCAGGTCACCTCCTTCCTGCCCAGCCACTGTGTTCAAACAGATGTAAACAGCAAGCAGTGGGCGGGAGCAATAGCCAATAGCAGGCTGACTATTGCACCAGCCCACTGCCTGCTGTCAATCACCAGAAGACTAGAAATAATTCAGTTCTCTAACAGGCTCTTCCAATGGCCAGCATCACTGAGCTTTGCCCAGTGACGCTTGCAGTAGGCGGAGCCTGTTAGAGAAATTAGTTCTTCAGGTCCGCTCCTCTGATTAACAGCAGCCAGCATGCTATTGCTCCTGCCCACTTCTCCCTGTTTGCATCTTTTTGATCACAGCGGCTGATTGCTTTTTTTTATTTTTGGTTTTGACCTTGAATTTTCATTTCGGTGCATCCCTACTTTAAAGAAGTGCTAACAAAGTCCTGCTGCAAATTGAGTTTTCTCCACACTGTCTATTGTGCATTAAATTACAAATAAAAAGAATGGCTTATTAATTGCCCTTTCTAGAGGGTGACCACTGCATGTCTAACTCCTCCAACAGATGGAAGTGTTGCCTTTTCTGCTTCTTTTCTTTCCCAACCATAGCACATTCACCAAGATCTTCATTCTTCCCATAATCTTCAGAAATCGTTACACCAGTGACCTGTGCATGTGTGCCATGGTCTCTCTTTACTTAGGTAAAAAGATCAGGTGTGGTCAGACAGAAGAACCTTCCATGAAGCCCACGGTGTATCACTCTGGTGATTTCCATCAGAAGCTTTACAGAATCTAGCAGGCTACACAGTGAAGACCTGTGTTGTAGGTATGACCTTTTTTGAATGTGTTGGGGGAAGAGGGGGAGCACTATGTTCAAGCAGTGATGCTAATTATATTACCCAATATACACATGACCACTAGGGAGGACATTTATATGAGTGTTTACACCGATCAGCCAGCATTATGACCACTGATCAAATAACATTGATTATCTCATTACAATGGTACCTGGAAGTGGGTGGGATATATTAGGCAGCAGTGAACATTTAGCCTCTGAAGTTAATGTGTTGAAAGCAGAAAAAATGGACAAGCGTAAAGATTTGAGCAACTTTGACAAGGGACAAATTGTGATGGCTAGATGACTGGGTCAGTGCAGCTCTTGTGGGATGTTCCTGGTCTGCATTGCTCAAGACCTTCAAAAGTGGTCCAAGGAAGGCGAACCGGTGAACTAGCAACCGGGTCATGGGTAGTCAAGGTTCATTGATGCACATGGGTAGAGAAAGCAGGCCCGTATAGTCTAATCCAATAGAAGAGCTACTGTAGCTCAAATTGCTGAAAAGGTTAATGCGGGTTCCGACAGAAAGGTGTCTGAACACACAGTCCATCACAGTTTGTTGCGTATGGGGCCACATGCCCATGCTGACCTGTGTCCACCGCCAAAAGTGCCTTCAATGGGCGTGTAAGCATCAGAACTGGACCGCAGAGCAATGGAAGAAGGTGGCCTGGTCTGATAAATCATGTTTTCTTTTACATCATGAGGATGTCTGGTTGCACGTTCGTCACTTACCTGGGGAAGAGATGGCGCCAAGATGCATTATGGGAAGAAGGCAAGCTGGCAGAGGCAGTGTGATGTTTTGGGCAATGTTCTGCTGGGAAACCTTGGGTCCTGCCATTCATGTGGATGTAACATTGACACGACTGTCCTTCACGGCTGAGCGGCCAGGGGAACCAGGGGCGGGGCGACTTACCTCACTCACTGACGTACCCAAGGAGTGTCGCTGAGTCTCTGAGACGTGACTGCAGAGGTCTTTCAGATGCCGCCAGCCCGGAGCGGCAGCCCGCTGCCCACACACTGAGTCTGGTCTCGATCGGGCGACTTTTCCGCCCTGTTCCCTGGTGCCGTAAGGCAAGTGCCCATCTTGCCTTGCGCGAGCGCCGGCCCTGCACGTACCACTTACCTAAACATTGTTACTGACCAAGAACACCCCTCCATGGAAACAGTATTCCCTGATGGCAGTGGGCTCTTTCAGCAGGATGATGCGCTCTTCCACACTCCAATAATGGTTCAAGAATGGCTCAAAGCTCACTCCCATGATGGACTATAAATAATCTCATGTTTGGTTTACTAATTTGTATTGAGATTGTAGTCTATCACAGGAGCGAGCTTGGAGTGGTAACTACTTTACAACACAGAGGGATCATAAGGAACACAAGTAGCCACCCTCCAGAAGGAAGGACAGTGTCAGCACCAATTCAGAGATGATTTGAGGATCTATAACTGAGTGATGCACAGATGTGTCGCTTTAAAGGATCTGCTACTGATGGCTTGGTGCCAGATACCACAGCATACCTTCGGAGGTCTAGTAGAGTCCATGCCTCGATGGGTCAGGGCTGTTTTGGTGGCAGGGGAACCTACTCAATATTAGTGGGTGGTCATAATTATATGCCTGATCGGTATATTTAAATGATGTAAATAAAGGTACTTTGGTAGGACAGGGTATGAGGCGTATGCTCAGGTCCTGGGCTTGTACCACCACTGCCATTGTTGGTGCTATTGTGTGGTAATGTTTACTTTAATGCCTTACAGTGAGCAGGTCTAGTGCTAATCATTAATTGCAAAGCTCCATTTGCTGCATTCACATATAGCGTTTGCGGTTTCGCACGCGGTTGTCCAGCGCAGAAGACCTTGCAGGACGAAAACGTTCGGTTTGTACCGAGCGTCCCCTGTAATGGACTAAACAATGCACATTGAAGTGCGTTGTATTTACTGTTTACTCCGCGCGTATCCGTACAGCCGAATATGCGCGGACAGCTGCTCAGCTGTGAATGGAGCCTAACTGTTGGTCAGTTGTGCCATAAAACCCCAGAAGAAAGCTCCTTCAACATTGAAGGGTTGCATATAACATTGGTGAATGGTAGGACTTCAGCTCTAGGATCTGCCCTGGTCTTAAAGTGTATTTGGCAGGTTGGGATTGTTTAGGTCAGGGGTGGAGGACATATAGAATAAGTGCACTTTGTGTTAACATGCACTTATCCTTTCAGGCCCTCTATACTATTGCACTAAGGGCTAGTTCACACCATCCTCAGTGCGTTCTGGCCCGATTGCGTGTGCTACTTTTTCTGAGTGCACTGGGCCGGAACGCAGTCACTGATGTGCCATGCGTTCCTGTGCGGTCGATCGCATTGCGGCCGGAGGGACTGGCTGCGGTGCCATTGAGTTCAATGCACCACCACGCCCCCTCCCACCCCAAAACAAAGTGAGCCGGCCGGAATGCGATCCAGTGCATTGCGGCCGTAATTGGGCCGGAACGCACTGAGGATGGTGTGAACTAGCCCTAAGTCTGGATTCACACTGCTTTATTGTACTCATTTAAATTGGCTGCCTAAAGGTGCCCACACACCTTGCGATAATCGTACGATAATCGCGGGAAATCCCGCGATCGTACGATTATCGTAAGGTGTGTGGAAGCCGTGCGACCTCTACTACTGTGAGGTCACAAGACTTTTATCTTACGAACATGTTCGAAAACCCGCCGAGAATCGTACGATTTTTGGCGGGTGTGTAGCATGTACGTTTTTTCAATTACCTTACAACCATCGCAAGACAAAAGTCTTACGATGGTTGTAAGGTGTGTGCCCAGCTTAACACAGCCTTTTGCAACCAGGGTGCCCTGGCACAGAGGTTGGGTCTCATGGCCTCCTCAGGGGTGCCTCAAAATGTTGTGGTAGTGGCACTGTGGTGTGAAGAGGGCTACAGATGTAAAAGCGTAACTCTGATGTGAATGTGGGGGGCGGGGGACTCTGATAAGAAAGTGGGGCTACTGATGCAAAGGATGACTCTGATGTGAAGAGGTGGCGGGGGGGATTTTGATTTGATGTGAAGGGAAAACCCACTTTATTGGGTGTTCTTGCGTGGATCTCTCTTAAAATCTGCAGCATTTTTTGACTGGGGTGCCTCGAGATTTTGCATACTTTTAAAGGATGCCTTGACTAAAAATCAGTTGAGAATAGCTTCCCACCAAAAAATATGCACGCTCAAGTTTTGTGAAACATCCGCAAGGGGGACCGCATCTCACTTTTCCACAAATATTCACCTAAGTGATTGTGTAATTGCGCGGGCACAGAAAAGGCAAAGTTTATTTTTGGTTAATGTTCCAGGTAAGCGTGTTATCAAACCATAACAAAACCCAGCTTGCACAGTCTCGTCTCCAGCCAATAGCTCCTGACTGACTCTGTAGGCGCGCTGCGTCCTATTTATTCTCTTCAAGGCTAATAGGACCGCCCACTCAGCACGGCTGCATCAGCCAATCGCAGTTTCTGTCTCGTTAGCACATCACGAATTGTAATCCGCGCTGCTATTGGTGGGTTGGCAATGCTTGGCGGGTCTGAACGGAGCTAGGAAGTGTTGTGGTAATTGTAGAATACAGCGAGCAGCTGAGTCTGGGCACAGAACATTCCAGGAGCGCACTGCTGTGTCCTATGGTGCATTGATAAGGTATGGACAGTACATGGCTGGAGAGTCTTTGGGTTTATAAAGATATGACAGGACAAAAGCTGAGCTTATAGTGCCATGAACCTGACTGAGTGTGAGCCTCATGAGGAGCGGACAAGGGGTTGTCATGACTCATTACTGACATTTTTATGAATAAATACATGACTATTTAGTTGGCCCTCTTGCATACTTTTTGCTTTCAGTACTTTTATGGCCAATTTACAACAAATGATTGGGTCTGCGATGGCCATTGGTTCCAGCGCAGCCCCAACGCTAGACAAGGCTGGGTTGTGATGGCAACGCAGGGGTGTGCGCTGAAAAAAGTGCAGCATGCGGTATTTCTTTCAGCGCAGGGAGACGCAACACGGAACAACCGTCCTGCACCCAGCTGTGCCCGTAGAACTGTCACTTGTGACATTTCAATAAAGTTCTACCAGAAGAAAAAAAAAAGTACACAGTGTGATGTGCTGGGATTGGTGCATCGGCACCGTGCTGGGCACCAAACACCAAACGCAGTGATGGGAATTTATCAAAACTGGAGCAGACAGAATCTGGAGCAGCTGTGCACAGCAACCAATCAGCTTCTCTCTTTCATTTTCAAAATCTTAACTGAAGAGAGAAGCTGATTGGTTGCCCTGAGTAACTGCGCCAGACTTTGTTTACTCCAATTTTGATAAATTCCCCCGTGTGTGTTTAGCCGCTGTCAGAATACATTAGCTGGTGGGGAAGATTCCTCCATCCGTGCGGTTTAGCATGATTTCTCTTGTTCATCCCAGAATTAGGCTGCCCTTCACATTCACAGTGTCCACTTGCGTTTTTATGCAGAGATTTGCTGCAGAATCTGTCAGGCTAAATGCTTTTTTTATGCGTTAGATGCTTAACATGACTCACGTTCACACACATATACATGCCTTTTGGTGTGTGACTGAACTGACTGCATCTAAACGCATGGTGTGAATGGAAATCCATTGGCAATCAGATGCTTTTATATGTGTTTAGAAAACACCTAATCACACCCAGAGTGACTGAGGACTTAAACACCAATAGGAATATTTGGGAGGAGAAGAATCTCAACTTTTTTTTCACTTCTCGGCTGAGTTCCATTCCTTTGAATAGGTCATTAAGGCCCTGTTCACACCAGGGCATATCATGAAGGTGCGTCAAAAGTGCGCGCTTTGACACTCGATCGCGATACGTGCACAAATGCAGAACATGCTTGCGTTGCTGTTACTAGGCAATGGCATCCCAAACACGACTAAGCGAGCGCAGTTTTTCCCTGCATGTATGTGCATGTGAGAACACACATGAATGTTTGGAAAAAATGCAGAAAGCATGTCACCAAATTTGCGACATGTACTTCTTTTCCACAATTGGCACATGTCCAGGGACCCAATGGGCACGCGCGCAGAAAGCAAAGTCCCACAAATGTGCTGCAACTTCCCTCTACGTCCTTCTGTACTTTGCTTTCCCTGTTTGGCGATCATCCCCATTGGGTCCCTGGACACATGCCAAACTGGGCAAGCAAAGTTCTGCAAATGTGTGGGAGCGCACATTTCCGCTACACTCTTGTGTGAACAGGTCCTAAGGGAATTGGTCAGTAAGCAAGGAATTGAGGAAATCCGCTCTAATATACAGTACCTTGCTTAGGTTTGTATACTGTAAATACTAATGTACAGTACAGCAGTAAATATTGACCGACTGTGGGTGTGAGACTAAGAAAGTGCGATGCGAGCTGAGCTTGACTCAAATTCTCGTACAGTGCACAATACGGACTGGTCGGAATGCTGGTTGTAATTCTGAGTGGTCATTAAAGGAGAACTATGGGGTTAAGCGCTTTTCGCCATAGTTCTCCTTAGGGTAACGGGAGGACACAAACTAATGTCCTCCCGTCACCCTAAGCTCAGTATACCGCGAGCTGCAGCTCGCGGTATACTAAGACGCCGCAGCTGAAGCGGATCCCGACAATTATGTCGGGATCCGCACAGCTGCGTGACTGACAGCTGGCTCTGCCTATCTAGAGGCAGAGCCAGCTGTACCCACCCCTCCCCGTCCGTTCCGCCAGTCAGCGCTGGCGGATCGGGGAGGGGGAATCCAGCCCCTCCCCTGTCACGGCAGAGAGCCGAGACAGGATACACCGGTATGTGTTCGCTCACCTCCCGATCTACTGAGCCGACCTGTGACAGTTTTATTGTCACAGGTCGGCTAGAACTATGAGGTGAGTGAAAAGCACTCACCTCATAGTTCTCCTTTAAGTGAGGAGGAGCTGTAATTGCATGTTACTGTAGTTTAGAATATCTCTTGATCAACTGATCATTGTTTCATTTTGAGATGAAATTTCACTGAAGATAACACCGCTCCTGCATTTTGCTGTCATTTGCTCAGATTTGTGTTACAAAGTAAAACGTTTAGAAGAAATACATTTGTTTACAAATACTAGCTTCCATTTAATCCGCATACACTGTTTGAGCAGGTGTGAAGAATTGTCTCTTTATGTTTGTTTAACCTTGTTTATCAATTAACCTTTTTTTCCACTCTGTACTTTTGTTTATTAGTTTATTATGGCGAAAGGTGAAAATGAGCCCTTTTATGTGAAATTTGTAAATTCACCCGACAATACTAAGTTCTTCTATGAAGCACATGAGGTAAGAAGTACAGAATCATCTAAAATATAGGGGTAGGTGTGTGAAATGACAGATATATAAATTCTAAACAGCTTTAGTTGCCATCTACCAAAAAAAAAAAGCTGAATGTATGAACTGCAAGCCCCTAGAGGTGCCTGGATTTCCTGCTGCATTCAGACAAATCCTCACCTTGGTTATTGTTTGAATCTTGACACCATCTTCCCCACACCAATAGGAATGCCAAGATGACATAAGGGGTAGTATAAGCTTTGGCACTGTCAGGAAGTGCTCACGTCACGTCTTTCTGCCCTGAGGAAGGGACCCTGTGCGGTCTCAAAACGTTGGCTTTGACTATTGTGACGTCTTTGTCCAATAAATGGACATATTGAACTATATCGTTGAGTGCTGGTTATTTACTTCTCTGCTCTACATTTTATACTTTCAGCATTTTTTTATTTTTTATTATTACTAGCAAATTTGTGTCGTTCCATAATGGGCAAGGTTTAGGGTTTTATCAAGCTAAAAAATGTCTTTTTAGAAGAATGTGGAGGATATAAAAGTGCAAGAGAGGAGTGCGGAGGGTATGACAGTGGGCAATGTGTGCAGGAGAGGAGTGCGGAGGGTATGACAGTGGGCAATGTGTGCAGGAGAGGAGTGCGGAGGGTATGACAGTGGGCAATGTGTGCAAGAGAGGAGTGCGGAGGGTATGACAGTGGGCAGTGTGTGCTGGAGAGGAGTGCGGAGGGTATGACAGTGGGCAGTACAGTTAACCCTTTAATTCACAAATTGTTGTTAGTGATCACATGACAAAGTGACAGTAAAATGTGTGCATTATATTATTAGAGATTAAACATTATGACATATTTGCTTTATATGCATTGATCCAATCTCTTGGGTAAATATATTTGAGACGAGTTACCAGGGGGAACTCCATAACTTGGAAGTAGACTAAAATGGAATGTAACTATTTAGGCAAAATAGAATAAGCCCCCCCCGCCCCCCTATTCTTTGTTGCCCGTAGTGATTCCATGTGAAGATTTTGAGAATAGCATCAATTGTTAAGATTTTGGCCTGATCAGTCCTCTCCTCCTTTTATCCTTTTCCAATGTAATCCTAGATGTTTGGCATTACTGTTTATTTACATGCTCATATTTTGGTATTTTACTTTATAGGAAATCAAGGCATTTCAGTCAGATGAATATCTACTGTTAATTGAGGAAAATGAGGCCCTCGCTTTGAAAGAAAAAGACAAATCTCTTTATGTGTGTGATCCTTTTAGCGGTGCTGCCTTCAACCATCTAAAAAAGGTTTGTTGGCATATTGTAAAAGTGTTCACTAAAGAATGCGAACGTTGTATTTCATTTCTCAGATATATAGTGATAGGTGCTAAAATTATACCTGTCAGTGGTGTTTAATCCTGATAGCAGAACTCCAGGAATTGTTTTTTATTAACCCTTGCAGTGGGGCTATCCCCACACTGCAAGAGTTAACTGCTCGTTTGTGTCTAGGTTAAAAACAATATACAAACATATACTCACCGAAAGCTCTGAGCTTGTTTCTTCTTAGACCGGTCCCTGGAATGTCTCTCCCCCCTCCTCTGCCGCTGTCTAAGGTCCTGTAAATCATCGTCTATACACTGTGCATAGATGTGAGGACACTGAGAAACATTCCAATGGGTATTTACCTTTTTGCTTCCTTTGCGTTTTGCAAATCAGCTTACATATAGGAGAAAATTGCAGAATTATTATCTCTGCTTTATACAAACATCCAGCGGAAAGGCGCAGATTGAACAATAAAGAGAAAATATTTACTCTGATGTTTGTTTAATAAACAATTTGACTTTGCGCAATTTAAGCGTATTTGCAGAAGGTCTTGTGACTTTATTCTATACAAAACATTAAAGCAGAACTCCAGGAATTGTTTTATTAACCCTTGCTGTGGGGCTACCCCACACTGCAAGGGTTAACTGCTTGTTTGTGTCTAGATTAATAAAAACAAAGAATTACTCACCCAAGCTCCAAGCTTGTTTCTTCTTAGACCGGTCCCTGGAATGTCTCTCCCCCCTCCTCTGCCGCTGTCTAAGGTCCTGTAAATCATCGTCTATACACTGTGCATAGATGTGAGGACACTGAGAAACATTCCAATGGGTGGAGAAGGAGGGGACAGGCTGGAGGGAGCGCTGTGACAGCTCGCCGGCTCGGAGCTTTGGGTGAGTATATCTTTGTGATTTTTAGCACCTACACACATGTCACTTAACCCTTGCAGTTCAGGGGTGACTCCACTGCAAAGGTTAATTTAAAAAAATCTGTCATGAAGCAACAAATTCTAGTCTCAGAAGCCCATGATGAAAACTATATATTTTGGGACGCACAGGCTGCATGCTTTTTCTGGGGTAGTGAAGCTGGATTCTTGAAGTCGCTGCCCTGGCTATTATGTTCATAAGTCACCAAGACTCAGTTTTGTTTTTTTAATTAATAATAATCATCAATAATAAAAATGTGTACATCTCGACCTTTTCCTTGGTCAGAAGTGTATTTGCTGCTGAGAAGGGTGGGCAGCAAGAGACTGTGGAAACGGTAGGCTAGATGGCTACTGCCAACCAGAACAAGAAAGGCAAGGTAACAATGATAAGATGATTCATCAAAACAGCCATAATAGGTACAGTACATCACTGGATATCTGAAAGCATCAGTGATGTTCCTCATTGATTAGTCATTGTCAGCCTTCTGGTATATATATTTTATTTATATTTAGCTGTTTTCTACCATCTGTGGAGCACCAATTGACTCTTATGAACTAATATCGTGAGAGGTTCGGGTCTCGTTTCTTGCTTTAAACTTTACCAATAGGCAATGCCAAGTGAAGGGACACTTGTAATCTGCTTAGAATCCTGCATGGCATGCAGCATATTGATATAACGGTTTGGGGGTATAAAAATCTACATCAAGGACAGACTTTACAGTTCCTGCAAGCTCTGTTTGTCAAGTTCTGCTTTAGGTTGGTCATAGGCAGGTAGATATCTCACAGGTAGAGATCAACAGAATGTAATACTTTGTTTTGCAAAGATTCGCTGTGTTCTCTCTGACTTTGCTAATGTAGATAGACTGAGAATTTTCGTGCCTTGAATACTTAAAATAAAGTTAGATTAAGGAGAATTTAATGTTTTGGTTTTTTTTCCTGTATTCATTTATACAGTAAATTCTCCCAATCTGAAGAGCCACATTTTAACCTGCAGTGATTAAGTCAGTGATAATATACTTAATGATACAGGAAAAGAACTCCCAGTCTTAAGAGAGTTAGACATAGACTTTCAGGGTTATTCACAAAAGGGTGAAGAGTTTGGAGAAGACAGGAGAAGTGAACAATCTAGATTCTAGGCCAACATAGCTGAACTGGAAAGTGAGCTGAATTGGGGAATATTTCCAAATTGGCTATTTTGTCCTAGATTGTTCCCTTCTCCTCCTTCCCCAAACTCTTCACCGTTTGGTGAATAACCCTGTTTGTCTTTTGTAGTGTCATATTCCATCTCCGTCTCTCTTACTGTACATATAATTTTATACTTCTCACCATAGAAACCCAACCACAGCATATTAAAGTGCTTATTTGTTGCATCTATAACATGTATAGATATTTACAGCTGATTTTGCACTGTGCCTGGTTTATTTTTATAGCTTGGTTGTAGAATAGTTGGACCCCAGGTTGTAATATTCTGCATGAAGCATCAAAGATGTGTTCCACGGGCAGAGCATCCTGTCTTCAATATGGTAATGGCTGATGTCACCATTTCGTGCACAAGTCTTGAGAAAGAAACCAGGGTAAGCTTATAATTTGTTCAATTTAAATTTTTCACCACAAAATAGCTTTCTTGGACAGTAATTTCTAAGGTCTGATGTTCTCAGCATATTTACAAGAGGATGATTTTGAATTGAATTGTTATTTTTAGGAAGAGGTTCATCATTATGTCCAGATAATGGGAGGATGTGTCTATCGAGATCTTAATATTTCAGTCAGCCACCTGATTGCTGGTGAAGTGGGTAGCAAGAAATACCTTGTGGCAGCCAGTCTGCAGAAACCCATCCTTCTCCCTTCGTGGGTGAAGGCCCTGTGGGAGAAGTCGCAGCAAAGGTACATATTAAGAAGAATGGCTCGCTGTATTACATCAGATCTCCTGCTCATGTTTCTTCACTTGTTTATTTGAAGGATAATTAGCTACAAAGAAGTGGACATGGAGCAATATGTATGTCCAATTTTCCTTGGCTGCACCATCTGTGTAACTGGGTTAAGCAGTCTGGATAGGAAAGAGGTCCAGAGGCTGACCTGTTTACATGGAGGACAGTATACAGGTCAGCTGAAGATGAATGAGTCCACACATCTTATTGTGCAAGAGGCAAAAGGTAAAGGCTCAGCTATGTTTATCGTTCACTCTAACATTGCTTCGTTTTATTTCCTTGTTTGTTGTGCTTAGCAAGTCTAAAGTGTACATATATATTTACACATTGTACACAAACACATTTTATTATATTCATGAGGTAATACAGTATATAAATCTGACTGCATGCACATGTGCAGAAATTCTGGGCTGAGTGTGTTCTGATTTCTAATTTTTGCTCTTGCCATTCTAGATTTTGTGTTTTTTGCAAGTAATGCAATCAAGCGTTTTGAATTATTTGTAATGAATAGCTCTTACTCGAAAATATAAATCTGTCTTTTTGTGGCCAGGTATTTCATTAAGTGGTGTTAGTTGTGTACTTCACCGTGTCTTGTTTGTTAGTTGTGTACTTAAGCCTCTCTGATTTGTCAGCTGATTCAACTACTGTACATTTTTCAGCCGTGTTTTAGAAGTTTGATCTGCCACACACCTGTCCTTTTGCCAGGAGTTTTCAAAAACGTTGCTGTCTGACATTTTACAGAGCAGGTGCATGCATAGGGACCCTAAAGTAGAAGTTAAAAGAGAACTATGGGATAACCTTTTTATCCCATAGTTCTATTAAGGGTCACGGGAGGACATATACTAATCTCCTCCTGTAACCCAAAGCTCAGTATGTAGCGAGCTTCAGCTCGCTATACTGTATGCTGTGAGAGCTGCAGCCGGGGTTTATCCCGACATTACTGTTGAGATCCACCCAGCTGCGTGAATGACAGCTGACTCTGCCTATCTAGAGGCAGAGCCAGCTGTGCCTGCCCCTTTTCCCACACCTCCCTCCTGTTCCCCCAGTCAGCGCTGGAGGATCGGAGTGGGTAATCCCTGCAGGGAGCAGTGACTTTCACCGCTCTCTGCAGGGAGATGATCGAAAAGTGAGCGAGCGACTGTATGCGTTCACTTCCCGATCTATAGTGCCTACATGCGACAGTTTCAATGTCACACGTCGGCTCTAACTATGGGGGATGAGTATGAATCACTCACCTCGTAGTTCTCTTTAAATTAAAAAAGAGACCATAAATCTAATCTGCCATGAAAAAACCTTTTGTTGCCTGTCAGTATTTTTATTTTATTTTTTTTCCTGTACAGTAAGCCGGGCGTGCGCAGCTCAGTACACAGGCTCAGCATGCTGTGATATAGTAACTGCCATGCACACGTGCAGGAGCTACACCATTCAGGCCCAGCCAACTAATGGCCTATGAATCAGAACCTGGAAGAAGACCAGGACGAATATAGAATCAGCAAGGGAGGAGTGCAGTGCTGGAGGGGATTGCTTTGTCAAGAAAGTCTGCCATAATGTGCTAATATGCAGTGCATACTAGCACATTATGGATAAAAGCTCCACTTCCCCTTTCAGTAATTTTTATTTTTACTTTGCAACGTGGAGTGTAATTGGTAGGCATACATATATCTGGTACATTTAGCCTATTACTCAGGCATAGCAAAGTTAAACTGGAATCCTTCCAACAGGTCAAAAATATGAATGTGCAAGAAAATGGAATGTGCACTGCGTATCTATTCAGTGGTTCTTTGACAGCATCGAAAAAGGTTTCTGTCAGGATGAAAGCATGTACAAGACAGAGCCTGTATCATCAGCAAAAATCATACCAGAGACATCCACTCCAACAGGAAACAGCAACAAACCTGATCGTAAGTATACATCTAAGGTATATATCTTCAGGAGTACCTTCAACAAAACTAACGCAAAGCCACCGTCCCTAGTCTTCTGTAGTGATCTTAGTGAAAACCCCTCTCCCAGCTGCTTGGTAGTACATCTGTGGCCTGCAGCAGGAATCTTCTTCAGTTCTAAACAGTCAGCCCCCTTAGACTTATATTGGGGCCATACTCCAAGCATGTTCAGAAGAGTTAGGCTGGGTTCACACCTAGGCGTACGGAATATGCGCGTTTCGTGCGCATATTCCTGCACTTCTTTGGGCGTAGGGCATTTTGCGGCTCGTTCCTACGCGCTGTAAAACGCCCAGGTGGGAACCATGCCCATAGGCAGTTATTGGTTTTCACATGTTGAGCGTTTTACAGCGCGTAGGAACGCGCTGTAAAGCGCCCAGGTGTGAACCAGGCCTTAAGGTGGGAGGATTAATGATAGTTTCGTCTAAAGGACCGCTGTCTTTTAAGCATCATTTTCCTGATAAAGTGAACTTCTCATAAGTAAGATAGCCATCTTTATTAGTTAAGTTTGGTTGTTAATTCCAATTAAATGTTAGCCCCTCAGTATGTATTATAGTCTCCAGCAGCACTTGTTTTTGTCTTGAACCAGCTCTGCATTTCTTGTGCCAAATATTTCCATTTTATTATTACATTCTTAAACCCTTTTATAAACTTTGAGGTCCTTATTCAAAGTTCATTGTTCCATTGTTGTAATTGCTTGTATTTTCTTTTCTATAACTTTTATACCCGCAGATCGGGCACTTTCTGATGTCAGCAACATTTCTAATATAACCACTAGCTGTGTTAATGAATCTGCCTTTAATTCTGTAATGAGCACTAGGCTGGAACCTCCAAATGACACTCTAGAGAACTTGGATCTGAGTTCCGTACAGGCCCCCGAGGATCTCCTGGATGGCTGCAGGGTAGGAATGTATTTCTTCAGTTTGCTTACTGATCTTTGTTTCATGTATTTGCAATTATTGTGCTGTACGTTACTATATGCATTCATTTAGTGCCATAAACCTTAGAGTATAAATGCACAGAATTAAAGGAGGAAATAATTTATGTAGGCTGCCATACCCCTTTCCATGTATGATCCCTCCCTGTTGCCTGGCTGTCATGCTGACTGACTTTTATTATTACCCACTGAGTCACTGACCTCAAACGTTGGTCTGAAGTTCTGACTTTACTTGCTGCACATTTGCTGTGGTTCACCGACTGAAAGTATAAAGCCTAGAGACATCCAGGAAACCAACATTTTCCAAATTACATCATAAATGTGACCTCCATGTTTTGTTTTATTTTCATGACCAATCTACTTTAAACCCGTAATTCTCTGTTCTGTACAAAACTATGTTACTGATAACCTGTTGGATAGAAATTGGGAATCTGCAATTCTTGATTGACAGTTGAAGGGGCTGTCAACTTACCTTTGCTTCACTACCCGAACAAGCAAAGTTAAAGCAAGCAAAAGTAGTTTTGAAAAAAAAGTATGTGCAGGATAGGAATGCCACTGAGCTCTCCTCCGATCACTGGACCCGGAAGTGATGTGCATTACTTCACTTCCGGTGTCACTGGGCACATTCTCTGGCTCCTAGAGCCAGAAGAAGAAGCTGGTGAAGCTGATCTCTGCTTCATCAGCTTCTTTGGGGTCCCTAGGTGACATTAGGGGTCTGAAAGACCTCTGATGTCTCCATAAAGAGGACCTGTCACATTATATTTGCTATTACATAGGTGGCTTGTTTTGTCCCCTATGTAATACTAATAAAGTTGAGTGAAAAAAAAATTGTAAAAAGTAACAACATATTGCCACGAGCGTCGGAGTGAGAACAATAATTCTAGGCCCATCAATCACTGTTAGCACTAAATTGATGAGCCGTAAAAGCATTTAAAGTGTCCCCTATGGGACATTATGGTTATTGTAGTTTTTTTGCGGTTTCACGGACGCACGCAATTTAAGGCTTGACATGTTTGGTATCTATTTACCCGGCCTGACCCCATCTTTTATTTTTTACCAAAAAAGTTTGTATTTTATATTCTGTTTCTGTGCACCTAAATTTCATTTTAGTGTATATTTATCCTAAAAATACTTTGTTTGATAAACATTTGCGCAAATACCGTGCAACATAAAAAATTGCAACTAGCATCTTTTTATGCTACAGGGTCTCTGCTTTCAGAAAATGTACAATTGTTTGGGGGTCTGAAGCTGTTTTCTATCCAAAAAGTCCGATTTTATGATTTGTGTGCAAATGTAAGAAATTGCTCCGGACAGCAAGTGGTTGGAAAATGGGCCTTATAGAACATCTCCCTATAGTTATACCTAATGGTTTTCTACATTCTGGACATTTTCTTCACAGATATATGTATGTGGTTTTGGAGGAAGAAAACTGGATAAGCTGAGAAAACTCATTAACTGTGGAGGAGGAGTCCGCTTTAATCAGCTGACTGGTGATGTGACTCATGTTATTGTTGGGGAAAATGATGAGGATCTAAAGCAATTCTTGAACAAGACAGACCACAGGTTTGTAAATCTACCTTGTGAGTTTTCAGAGAACTAAAAAATAGGATCCTGTCCGGGTATGGCGTGTGGAACAGATGACTAGAGCCTTACGCTTCAACTGTGATGGCCTGCTGTGGAAGCATCTTGGCTTTGTCTCCTGTATGAGTCTCTGGTCAATACACATGCACTGAGTACTCTGGGTAAAGTGCTGGAATGTGAACACTGAGTCTAAGGCCTTGTTCACACCAAGCGCGGAGCAGATCCAGAGCAGGTGCAGACCGGATCAAAACTGCGTCCAATGTATTCCTATGGTATTTTGAGCTCCAGTTCACATCGCAGCGTGCAGATCCAGAGCAGGTGAAAAAACTGCGGCAAGCCCTATTTTAACTGCTCTGGATCGCATCAAAAACGCAAAAATGCATGCAAGTGCCTGACAGCCCATGTTAAACTTAAAAAACCAAATATATTTTTTTTTAACCAAAACCGGCCCTGAACGCGTCAAAAACGCGGCACAACCCACTGCACTGCATGTGCAGAAGCCTGACCGGATCTGCTCTGCATTTGGTGTGAACAAGGCCTAAGGAGCATCTAACATGCTTGGTCTCCAAGGGGATGACGTCTCTTTGGGCTAACCCTAGCTATCATTATCAGTGATATCACTGGAGGCAAGAGCACTCAAGGGAGGCCTTACAAGTGTGCCTTCCTTGAGTGCAGACCAGTCTAGGCTGTTGGTTGCTGTTCCATCCGCTTCCGCTGCCATCTCCTCTGCTGCCAGATCCAGTCCCCCATCGTCCTCTTTGGCCATTGGCAGCCTCTCATGAGCTGCACAGTGTACACAGAGAGTTGAAAACTGCTAGAAACAAGAAGCAGTTTTTAAACGCTGCTTTTAAAATACTCTGGTGCACAAAACATATGATACATGTGACTTTTTTGCTCTTTACCAGTTATACCTATGTGCCTGGAAAATACATGTTTTTTTTCACCCAGAAAAGTGTTTTTTTTGGTGGGTTCTTCATTTTCTCTCCAAAGAAACCAGGCATAGGAAAACTATGTGTGCATCCATTGCTGACCTCTGCTTCTGAAAATTCTAGTCCCTGGTTGCCATGCTGACTGCCTCTATTCAATGCAGATAACAGGGCCCTCCTTACCAGCTTGTCTTGAATTGTATTGTGATTGTCATGTCTTCCTTATATTGTAAAGCGCTGCACAAACTCTTGGCGCTATATAAATCCTGTATAATAATAATTCTGAATCCCTAAACTGTAACAAGTATACAGATAAGGCGTTCTGACTTCAATTGATACATGATTGTGTTGTTCACATTTTTTTTAGATATTTATTTATATCCTTAGTGCTTAGTAGCTCTTATTTCACCCACTGGCGCTGATCACTTTATTGTTTTTTGGGTTAATGGCTTAGTCTGTACTAAAGTTAGAGACATCAGACAGCTATCTTTTTCGAGAGCAGATGAGCAATGGCAGCTCTTGCGTTTCTCTTGTGACATGTATCCTCAAAAAGCCCTTATCTTTTCATTTTTGGTCCTTCATTAGACAGAGTTTCGGTCTGCAGGACCTAGGACCACACCTAGAAATAACAAGGTTGATTTGGATATAAATTTCTCTTACATTGCAGAATATTTATTTTTCCTTATAGGCCTTATGTGCTAACAATACAATGGCTCCTAGACAGTTTTTCAAAGGGTACCTTGCAGCCCGAGGAGACGTATTCCCATTCTTCATATAAGCTAGCTGAAATCCAAGCCCCTGCTCAACAAGTCCTCGGTACATCTCTTCGTAAGGCAAGCACTACCAATAACAGTGTTCGAAAATCATCCAACCTCACACTGATGACCACACGTCATCAGGCTGATGAAGACCTGCTATCTCAATATGCAGAAAGCGATTCCACATTAAGTAAGATATATAGATCTTTTGCAGTAAAAAATACTGTATGTCTTGTACTTTTCTAGTTTTGTAGGCTTGACAAATTTTATCCTTTTTTTTTTCTTTCTAGTTGAACCAGGGAATCCTAAACTGACCATGCAGGATGATATGCCATCTTTTCCCAGCCAGAGTGGCCTGGGGGAAACATCCACTATTATCGACGGTGGACTGTTCAGCAGGAAATCTTTTATGGTGTTGGGCTTTGTTGAGGAAGATGAAGATTGTGTCATAGAAATCATAAAAAAGAATGCTGGTAAAGTGCTGTCCTCTAATAAGAGAGCAATTGCTGATTATGCCGTGGTGCCTTTACTGGGATGTGAGGTAGAGGCTACTGTCGGAGAAGTTGTCACCAATGCTTGGCTGGTAAGAAAACTTGTGGCCGTTAATAAGATGTCAAAAACGACCATATGTTTGTATTTTTGGAAGGTTATGTTTTCAGGTTAGGATTTTCATTAAATCTTAGGTTAAGGGATAAATGTTAGTTTAAAGTGTATTTCCTCTTTTGCTGTCATATTTGAGAAAACCCCACCAACTATGATTTCTTTCATAATCGATTAGTTGGACGATTTTTTTTTATTTTTTTCTCGATTAATCGGATATAAAACATTAAATAAATACCACCCTTAATTTAACATACAATACACAAATGCAGTGTTACAAACATAAAGTTTACTTAAAAATAAAGCTGCATACACAATTGTTTTGCAATCTCGCTGCTATCTGGAATGAACAACAGTGCGGTACTGTGTGTTCCTGTAAGGGCGATCACACTGTGGTTGGGGGTGGCATTTGGGGTGCCATTGAGATGAATGACACTTCAACGCACATCCTCCAGCAGAATTTGTCAGGCCGAAACTGAAAATGACTTTTTTCCCACCTTTTTAATAATTTTTTTTGTTTTTTTTTAAAATTGTATTGTAAGCACAAGGAGCTTGAATAGCTTCAGCCAGGGAATGACAGCTGCGCGTGGCAAGATTCCGCATACGGCAGCTGGATGTAAATACAGCAGGTAGTGGGCTGGTACAATAGACAGCCTGCTATTGGCCATTTCAAAGTGCAATAGCTAGTAGCAGGCTGGCTATTGCACACGCCCACTGCTTGCTGTGACCTCCTCCTAGCGTGGAGGAGAGAGCTAGGGGATCCAACTAATCGATAACGAGAATAGTTGACATTAGTTAGTTGCAGCCCTAAACCCCACTATGTTTGTGTCCCTAATAAGGTGTGTTGTGTTGCAGGCTTTTGCAAGTGACAGGAAGTTCTGTCAGTCCCCATAGGAAAAACTAGGGACACTTTGGCCTTCCTTTCATTAACATACAGTGCTTCTAGATCTTAAACATCTTTGTTAGGACCGTGTTTAAATCTAGTTTACAACTGAGATCCGCCAGCACAGAACAGACAGTATTAATTATGTAACATTAACCTACCCACCCCATTGCATCCCAGAGGGAAATTCAATTTATAGAGAAACTCCTTCTTCTTTTTTTTTCTCCCCCCAGAATAGAGCTTGTAATTTGAGAACACATAATAAAATTGTTTTTTTTTTCTCCATTTGGCAGTAAAGTAGACATACAGTTGTAATACAATTTAATGGCGATGCTAAGCAGTCTTTTGTTTATAGTTTTGTTTTTGTTTTTTCTTTCTTTGGTGCTTTTGTTTTACACTTCTTTCGGGCCCAAAATTGCCTATCAGCGCCATATCAAATAGACTTATGCTTGAATCTTTGACTTTGCACAAATCTTTCTTTGTGTCTCTACAGCCCCTGAATCTAGGCACACACAAGAAGCAGGAGGCATTCACCTTGACTTTAGGTCTCTGATATCAAGGGATACTCTGCAAAGTTAGTTGGCCAGGAAAGCTTTCATCCTCATAGCCTAGGGGGGGTCAGTGGTAGAAGGCCTAAAAGGCCTTCTTACTTAGACTGGCTAGTCTTTCTCACCACACCTTGTTTTGTTTTCGGTTCCTCCTTGGGACCTTTTCCTTCCAAGTGTTTGACCCTATTACTTGTACACCACATCAGGTTGTAGGTCTTTCCTTCTCTACATGGAAATTTTTGTTTTTGTTCCACTTGTTTTGGTGGGTTCTGGTTATTCAGCTTGATCCAGGTTCACTGTCACACTTCGTGGATTAATTCCCCCCTGGTGGTGACCTTTTTCTTTTTATTGGTCTTGATCATCACCCTCTGGTCATGTAACAGGCTCCCCTATCAGGTTGAGGACTTGACCTCAGGTGTCAGATTCAGTCACTGGTCCTTTGCATGGCTTATGGGCTTCTGGCAGTCCCCAGGTTGCTAGCAATGTTTTTGCTGTTGCCCAACCCCTCAATTGGAATGCTTTTGGACCTCCTAAATGTATCTGAATTTCTGTGTCTCTCATTGGACAAGAAAGAAAATAGGATTTTTGTACATACTATAAAATCCTGTTCTTGTAATCCATTGAGGGAAACGGGTCCCACCCCTCTGTTATGGTTCACGTGCTTGATACTGGTTGCTGCAAACTGGGGCATGCTAGGCGTCGGGATTCGCTCCATAAGACGCAGGCACATTTTCCCCCTCCTTTTGGGGGGAAAAAAGTGCGTCTTATGGAGCGAAAAATACAGTACATTCTTTTTTTAAAGTCCCCCCCATACATACACGCATGCAGATCTCGCACAGGGCGCCTAAAGGCCTAAGGCCGGCCCTGCATGCTAGTTAGAAGCAGGAATATCCTGGGCTGGTCTGCTACCTTTTTGATTGCCAATCTTCCTCTAGGTGGAAGTATAACACAACTGTATTAGAATTCCTATGTTCCTCAATGGACTCCAAGCATAGGATTTGATAGAAAGTACAAAAATCCTATTATGTGAGTTATCTGTTAAAATTATGATAGAAAAAAAAACTAATTTTTGCTGCTGACACCTTACTGTTACGGTCAGCAATACTGTTTAATAGTTACATAATTCTACAGTGCACAGCACTCTTCATGATATGTGATTTGTTTCATCTTCCAGGGAATGTGTATAGAACAAGAACAACTTTTGGATCCTCAATCTAATGCTCTTTTCACACCAGTGACCCATCTAGAAGGCAGAACACCACTTAAAGACTGTGTCCTGTCTGTCAGTCAGTTTATGGGAGCTGAAAGGGATTCCTTAGTCTACCTAGCAGGTCTTCTTGGAGCCAAGTAAGTGTCTTGTATTTGTTGCCCACCATTAAATTAGTATGCCAGTGTTGCTGTGGTAAGTATACTTACCACATACTGTGAGAACCATATGTTGCACCGATGCTGTTTATCAGTTTTTTTTTGTTTGAGGGTGGAGAGGGTTTGTTTGTTTTTATTACTACATCTTGGCTAAAAAATGAATGCAGATATTTTTAGTCTAGTAAGTAGTAAACATTGGATATGACAGTTGGAGCTTTAGTCTTTTTTTCCCCAATGGACACAAGGCTGATCCTAAAGTAAACCTGTACAGATAGAAATATAGGAGCCTCCATGCTGATGTGTTTGTAATGGTGAAGACGCATCACATTGTCATCCTGATCCCAGCTTTACAGCTTTTATGAGTCACTGAGCTGCACCAGGAACACTGCATAGTTCAGTCATTGTAGACATGGAAGCTGGGGTACATGTTTACCAACAAGATGAGTAATGGCAGCTCCTGTATTTCTGTCCTTTTCTGGCCACTTTAACTGCGTTGCTAGAAAAGGCCTGTTTACAGAGGTCAGGAGTCCTAGCGTTGGTTACACACTCAGCTGTATCGGAGGATTTATTCACACTCACCCCCTTCTCTGCTTTGTGACTCCTACAGACTTTCAGTTAGAGAGGAACAGTCTGAAGGCAAACGGCATCAGTGTCATGGATGTGCCCTATACTAATATACTAAAGATTTTGCATAGATATATTTGATACGCCAAAGCCAGGGGAGTACAATAGAAGAAAATGGAAGGAAGGTGAAAAAAGCTGGACGGAGAGCCTGCTCATGTGACTTGTCAATCAAGATCCTGAACTCTTTCTTCTGCATTAAGCATAAAGAACTCCCTAGGGGGTGACGCAAGTTCCACGCCATGGCTCACATTTTATGAATGGGCCATAAAATGCAGGCCGCTGTGTTTGTAGCCAAGTGGAGTATAACCGAGCTGATATCAATATCTGTTCTCCATTATGAATGAACCTTTAGTTTGCCAAGACACACTTGTAAACAATCAAAAACAAATACAGTTTTATTGTTTTTTTACATCATTTATTGCATCTCAGCTAGACAGCCTCTTTGCAGCCACTGCCTGTCTACATGCATTCACTCCAGAAATGGCTGCATGGCATTTCTTGGGACAGGTTTCCTGATGCAAACAACTGTGTACCATGCCCGCATAATGTGGGTTGAAACAGTTCCTTTAAGTCAGAAGCCTGTGTGGCAGGGTGACGACACAGGAGGGCAATTGAGAGACGGAGCGTTGTCGCCCTATAACAGGAAGTGCTTGATCAAGGACCTACATGGCAAGATAAACAGATATGTTAATGAAAGCAGATTATGTATGTGTGTGTGTGATTATATTTATATATATATATATATATATTTTTTATAATATAATAACATGCTAAGGATTGCATGGGCTTTTAGTTACTGGGTTTACATATACTTTGGGGAATATTATTTAGAAAGCAGTGAATATTACATTCACCATCCATTTACTAAATGTGAATCAGGAACTGCAATTTAAAACACATGCACTAGGAATATATGCCTGCAGTGAATGTTTGGTGAATGTCATATTTATTTCTTTATAAATATACCCTTTAATTATTATAAACACTTTGCAGTCTATTTGAACGTTATAATATTCAGTGCAGCATTATACATATGTGCAATTCACTCATGCCAGAAGGATTTGTTGTTTGTTTGTCTTCTATGGACCTCTACCATACTTTACCCAAACTACCATACAGTACGTCACGACCTCTGGGACAAATGCAGTGATTTGTGCAATGTGTTCTGTCAATAGATTGGTTGTAATCTTTTATGTTTCCAAAAAAAATGTTCACATGCTTATTGCCATTGAACAGTATATTGGGATAATCGGGAACTTTTTGATATGGTTATTTTCTAAAAACTATATTTCATGCACTTGTAGTGATAATAGCAAAGTATTAACTAAATTACCTGGAGGGCCCCCCAACACTGAAATTTTTGTGCTTCTATACTCTTGTCTTTGGCTGTGTGACACTGGACTCTTTTGGAAAGGGGGATATTAAAGGAGAACTATGAGATGAGTGCTTTTCACTCACCTCATAGTTCTAGCCGACCTGTGACAATGAAACTGTCACAGGCCGGCTCAGTAGATCGGGAGGTGAGCGAACACATACCGGCGTTCTCTCACCTCTCGATCCTGTCACGGCTCTCTGCCGTGACAGGGGAGGGGCTGGATTCCCCGCTCCGAGCCGCCAGCGCTGACTGGCGGAAGGGACGGGGGAGGGAGCGGGTACAGCTGGCTCTGCCTCTAGATAGGCAGAGCCAGCTGTCAGTCACGCAGCTGGGCGGATCCCGGCACAATTGTCGGGATCCGCTTCAGCGTCTCCGTATACCGCGAGCAGCAGCTCGCTGTATACTGTGGCGTTTCGGTATAACGTATACTGAGCCTAGGGTGACGGGAGGACGCTAGTTTGTGTCCTCCCGTTACCCTAAGGAGAACTATGGGGAAAATCCTTATCCCCATAGTTCTCCTTTTTAAGTACACTGGAAGGTGCCTTGGTTTAGTTTTGTTTATTTGTGTTGCATGTGTATCTCATCCTTCCAAGTGATGATGGCACTTTTTGATTTAGATTACCTTGAGTAATGTATCAGAAGAAGGTTATACCTCTAAACTACCATTTTTGTTTTCAGAATTTGGTGTTACATTTCACTGTTTTTATAGCCACTTTCAATTTCTGGGGTTTAAGTAATGCTGAGCATTTTGAATGTTGCAGAGTCCAAGAGTTTTTTGTAAGAAAGGCCAATCCAAAAAAAGGCATGTTTGCCAGCACTCATCTCGTGCTTCGAGATCCTGACGGCTCCAAATATGAAGCAGCTAAGAAGTGGAATTTGCCTGCTGTGACTATGGCCTGGCTCCTACAGTGTGCCAGAACTGGCAAGAAAGCAGATGAGAACCAGTATCTTGTGGAGAACGCCAGTGTAGATGGTTGGTGGTTATTTATTCTTACTTTATTAGCTATTTAAATGATAGATCAAGACTAAATGACTGTGTTGTTTATAAAGGAATTGGGCAGTATAGTTCAACCCTTGCTTCCCACGCCTTTATAGGAACCAGAGCCATTTTTTCAGGTTTCATCTGTAGTGCCACCTGCAGGTGAAACCTGGTAATTTAACCTGACTGAAAATAGCTATGGTACACAGCAAGATCAGAGTTCCTCTGCATCTTGTCATGTGCTTATCAAGTTCCTGAAGACATTGAGAAGGGCTGATATTAATTTTTTTTTCCCCAGGAAAACCCATGCATACTGTGTCTAAATTCACACTTTTGTTTTTTTTATTTTTTTCCAGACAAAGAAGAGAGTTTTGTAAGTCAGACATATAGGCCGGTAGTAGCAAGACTATCAATGGATACACCAGACCGTCCAGAAGCCTTGAAGAAATCTGCAGTGACTCCATTAGATATGAATCGATTTCAGAGCAAGGCATTCCAGTCTGTACTTTCAAGGCACAACAAAAAGGTTCCAACACCTGGTGGGGAAACTAAAATACCACAGAGGGAGCCATCTCTTCATCTTGACACACCTTCAAAATTTTTATGCCGAGATAAACTTTTCAAGCCAACATTTGATGTTAAGGTATCGCTTACGATTTGTATTTATTGTAAGCTTCTGATGAGCCTTCTGTGCTGCTGCTTTCCTGTGGTAGTGTCGTGCTATAGGGTTGGCATAGAATGCTTAACCGTAAGCTTCAGTGGCCCAGCTTAAAGTATAATTAAACACTCAGGTTTTTTTGCTTATATCTACTGCTAGCAAGCAGTAGATAATGCAAAAGCATTACAAAAAATAAAAAAAAGGTTAGCAAAAAGGTAATTAGTTACCTGTGTCTCCGCCGCTTGCTCCCGTCTGAAGCTCTGGAGCTTCTCGAGTGGGTGAGCAGGTTGATGAGGCGGGCGCATGCACAGTAGAGATCTTCAGTAAAGAGAAGAGAGACACAGTGGGGCTGATTGCACACAGCCGTGAGCGTGCATGTCGGACAGACTGCATGGGATATGTAGAGACAGCAGTCTGCGCTGGATCAGAGACAGGCACCAGCTCTGGAGGGAGTCCTGAATACAAGTGGAAAGAACAAGATGATCTGCTCAAGAGGCATCATTTAAGGTAAGTCCTTAAAGCAGCATGCTGTGGGGAGGAAAATAATTGTGACTTTAATGCCACTTTAATAACATCAATCATTCTACTCCCTAGACATTGTTCTGTCTTTCGGGTTTGGCAGTGGAGTTAGCCTATTTTTAGATATTGGTCCTTACCTCCTCTTACAGCACAGACCTTGCATCTATAGAATCGATTTGTATCCACATTTAAGATTTTCTTATACGTTGGTCCTATGACGACGCTGTTCGATAATCCGACATTCCCTCCAGTGTTGCAAAGATCATCTTTCGGAAGATGGAATAAGGCTTTGTTATGGACTCTCCTGATACCCCGCCTGGTATCTCCGCAAAATAATGCTTCCCTGCTCGGTACCTTCCCGGCCAGCATATACCCTCGTTCCCCCAAGATTTAGACAACACTAGTTTTGAGGTAAAAACAGCGAATGACTTTATTTTCCAACAGGACTAATATTTATAGGCAATAAGGGACAAACCCCCCTTCATCAATAAACATGAATCGCGCCCAAACAAGAACCAATGGGAACAGATAGAAACAACTTTCAAACCAAGTAGTAAACCCATGATGCACAGGGGCACATAGACCCTTATCTTATCAGTCTCAGTGTCTGTTAGGGTCTTTGTGCCTGTGATCAGGAAAGTGGAGTCAGGCAGATGACAAAAGCATCCCAACATAGTTCCAGATGCTTTGGCTACTGGTAACCCTGGGTAGTCTCTGGGTAACCCTGCTGTGAAGCTCCTGCAGCCCTTGTGTCCGTTACAGGCTTCTGGAACTGTGGTGGGAGCACAGGCTTGTTCGTCAGTTGATCAACCGTTTTGCCAGCGTTGCTGAATTTCTGATAGACGGTTTTCTATCTCGTGTCACACCCTCAGTCCGAGAACCTACAATCTGATCCCACAGCTTTCAAATCCCTTATTTTGCAATAGCGGCCTCTGACTCGCACTGTGTTGCTGCTTTATTCACGTCTCTCCTACATCCTCCCATGATTTACCTTTTGTATACATCTGCTTAGGAGAGGGAATCGGGTACGTCCATTGTATGAAAAGAATCTGGAAAATCTTGACTCTGTGGTACATATGTCCTGATTTACTACATCACTTTTACCCCCTCGGTACCTAATTCTTGCTGTTGGTATCAGGGATCTTATCTGGTGCAACTGCCCTCTCATCATGGCATTTTAGCAACTGGTTTTGGAAATCTACCACAGAGTGACAGGTTCCATGGTATCAAATAAGCCCAAAATTGTATAATTGTCTGTTACCGGTCTCAAAAAAGTCTGCAAAAAGGGGTGTCTTACGTCATTTTCTCACGGCTACTAGGGCTGTCATCCTGGGACATTGGCCTACCCTTGCACTACCTACCTTGTCTAAGCGGACTGTAGAAATGGACCTCATAGTGTACCTGGAACATCTTTTGGCGTCCGAATAGGACTCTGGGGAGCGCTTAATTATCATTTGGTCTGTGCCTTCTGTTTTGTGACTACCTGCCATTTCTAGTAGGGATGCACCGATACTAGTATCGGTGCAGATGCCGAGTATTTGGGCCCAAATGCTCGGATACCTAGCCCGATACTTCTGGTATCAGGAAGCCGGGCAGCGTGTCTTTACACGCTTCTCGTCTAATCAGGAAGCCAGGTGGCGAGTCATTACACACGGCCTGGCTTCCTGAATGGGACTTCCGGTATTCGGTATCAGTGAGTACCGAAAAAAATATCGGTATTCGATACCGGTGTCGTTGCATCCCTAATTTCTAGAACTGGTTTCTAAATAACTGCTGTGACCTAAATGAGGGTCTGTGATAGGGTGTGGGTGCTTTTTCTGTTGCTTCTTTACTTTTCTCAATTTTAAATTTCTGTTCTCCTGATATCTATTTTATAGATGCATGCCTTTTTCTCTTTTTTTTTTTCTTCTACCTTACCTTTTCATTCTCTCTTCTACTTCATGTTTCTTGGTGTCTCACTCTTCTTTTTTTATGTGGTACCTACACAGGAATTTTGGGGATCACCTGGCCTAACGTTAAATGTCATACATACATGTCATTACATGATCCTTCCTATAAGAAACAATTGCTGGTTTTGTCTGCGAGTGATCCCTTTAAACTATAATTTGTATTGTATGGATCTTGTGTTCCCTTTTATGGATTTTATTTGCATAAATTCCACTCTGTGACATATATAGATAGATTGATATATATATATATATCAATATAAAATCAATCAATCAATAGATATTTATTTTATATGTGTGTCTTAAATTCTTAAATCCTAACAGGATGCTCTGGCAGCTTTGGAAACTCCAGGTGGTCCCAACCAGAAGAACAAAACACAGAGCACCCCTTTGACAGAAGTGATTGGAAGAAACCTGCAGTTAGCTCTTGCAAACAGTAACCGCCAAACTGCAGAACGTTCAGCTAGTCCTCAGTTAAAAATGGCTGTGCAAAAACAAGTAAGTCTTATTTTTATATTAATATTTTATGTAGCAGTTTAACATAACAGGTGATGCTGAGCGCATCTATTTATAATAGACATAATTGCATAAATATGTCACATGGTAAAGCATTAAAGTGTTGCTAAATTAGAAAATGTGTATTGTTCTTGTTGATGTGTTTACATTTTAATTATCTATGAGCTCAAATAATTACTGTGTACATTTCAAGCAGGTCTTTGTGCAGCGAAAGTGTTCAAGTGAGATGATGACTGCAGTCCATAGTAAAACTACAATCTGTAAAGATGTTTTGGGGTTTTTCAATTACCACTCTCTTGCCTTTACCCATAATTGTGCTCAGTCATTCGTCCTCTTTTACCAAAAAATGATCAAACTGTCTGCTGCTCCTTTTGGTATACCTAAAGGAGCCTGTGGGCACACAATATTTCACAGACCAGCACTAGCCTGTGTTATTAATAATTCAGAGTCAGAGCTGCAGATAGAATGTTTTACTTTCCCAATAAAAGTCACAGCTGAGGCAGATGAGGAAAGCTTTGGTGCTTTAGATTTTGTTATGGTCACCAGGACTCCCTACTTCCTCTCCTCATTAGTGTCTTTTTATTATGGTGTCTCCCTTGCAAGTAAAATGCTGTTAAGTGGGGCCTGGCAGGGTATTGGGCAGAAAGCAAGAGGTGAGAGCTCTGCCGAAATTCCTTTCCTTATGCACAATCCTGCTGTGATATCCTATCCTTGAAACTCCATATATGCACCCGGGAACTTCTCCTGGATCTTCAGATTCTACTGTAGTGCAAAATGTCACTCTCCAAATGTCCCCCAGATACAGCGGTCAGCCTTGAGCAGGGGGCGCTGCAAGGCTCATTTTCTGAGTTCAGCTTTAAATCTCAGTTTATTACAACTTTATGTAGCTTCTAGAGCTGGAATCATCTTATAATTTCCATAGCAAATAACCAAATGTTTATGTAAATTACACTCAGATGTTTATGTAAATTGTGAATAATTAAGTATTTTGCATTCTTTTAAACGTTCCCTCTGGCTAATGAGTACCACTAGTTCTGATCAGTCACATGAATTATGTATTTGTTATGTGTTATTTGCAGTGCTTTCTCTTTCCAGTCCAGTAGAAAACAGATTTGGTGATTTTATAGTTTTACTTCATGCTGATTGCCCACTCTGCTTTTTTTTGTATGTTCACAGGTAAATGAGGAGCCCACAATTCTCAGTAATGTTGTTATTTGTGTGAGCAAGAAGCTTAGCAAAAAACAAGGGGAATTAAATGCTGTAGCTGCATCTCTTGGAGCAGAGTACAGGTACAGAATGGGATAAGACTTGTATTTGTCTCTTGTATAATTGGGGCTGTGATAGAATGCATGCTTTCCTTTTTGTTCTCTGTGAACAAATAAAATACCATTATTACAGAATGCTTGCTCTAAATCTGATATTGCTTGAGATGTCTGTAAGGTACAGTACAAAGTTTTACGCTGAAAAAAAACCATTTAATGCATTTGTGCATTCCTGTACAAATCTTATGTTTGTCATCCCTTGCACAGCAGCATTGAAACTGGGTTGGGTATAGGCAGTACTAGGGCTAGTCAGACTGCTACATGCACATGATTGGAGGAAAGAGCAGAGTTTACTGTGTTGCTGCTCCATCACTGTGCAGTCATGTAACAGGGTACCATTATGTTTTTTAACGCTAAGCCTTCATTCACACCTGAGCCACTACATCTTCACGTGTAGAAACTCATGTTTTGTGTAGCATGTTCTTGCGCATTCATTGCACATTTTTACGTGCATAAAACACATTGACGTAAATGTACAAAACAAATCACAGCAAATGTGTGTTTTCGAGGGTTTTCTTGAGGTCTATGGGGCCAAGAAGCGCAGAATCTGCCAAAAGACTCGTACTTTCTTCAAGTGACAGGCCTTTTCTTACAAGCGACAAAACGCGCAGATTTGAACATGGCCGTAGAAATGAAAGGTTTTTTTTTTTGGGGGGTGTTTTTTCAAGCAGAATAAGCGCTAAAAACGCTCTGTGTGAATGAGGGCTAAGACAGAAAGTGGTGTCACCCTCCTGTCTGTGCAGAAGTATATAAATCACAAAAGTGGCTGCTCAGAGTTTCAAGTATGGTTTTTCTTCTGTGTTTTTTTAAATTTTTATTAGCTGTTAACTGATTTTGTTTAACGCAGATGGTGCTTTGATGAAAGTGTAACGCACTTCATTTATCAAGGAAGACAAAACGACACCAATCGGGAATTCAAGTCTGTAAAAGAAAGAAATGGCATTCACATTGTATCTGAGCACTGGCTCCTGGCTGTATGTATAAGTGATGTTTGTGGATTGATTTTGTTGTTGTTTTGTTATATATAACCACATGTGTGAGCAAAATAGACTGCCATAGAAACTGGTTCTGCAATGCAGCATGTTTCAGGTCATAAAAGGGGACACATTTGTGCAGTTTGTGTCCATAGGGCTGCCGTGACCTATGCTATGTCTGCATTACAGTCTGCAAATAACTACAGAGGTCAGTGGGAACCATACAGCACTCTTGCATGGTTTGCATTCTTAGTTTTTAGGTAAATCTTTATTTCTTGCCCAAACATTAAGGAACACAGGATGGTAATTCAGGCACATAGGATTACACTGCTGTCTTCAGGAGACTTTTTTTTTCTCTTCCTAGTAAGATCCAGTTGCTAGAAAACATAACCACTGGGGCTTATTTTGCATCTTTCTGGTTTGGCTGATCCTTTGCATAGCCTTAAAGGATGTCCTTAGACCCTGCTGGCATGAAGAAGTGGGACTGGCCTGTAATGTGTTCTCACTGAACTAGACTCTGCTAAGAACGCTCTCCTACACCACCTGGGTTTAACGTGTGAGCTAGCAGTAGAGTGCTTTAACCTCCCTGGCGGTATGATTCTTTTGATTTTCGTTAATTTTTCGGTGCGATTTTTTTCGTTATTTTATTTAATTTTTTCGGGGTTTTTTTTCGAATTTCCCGCCGGTTCCGCCCCTGTGCGACGCGTACGCTCGCAAGGGACGGAACCCGGAAGACAGATGCCGGCGCCGGTCGGAGGACACCGCACGGCTCGAGGGACAAGGTAAGTAAATACTGTGGGATATTCCCGAGTGTAGCTCAGGGTATGGAGAAGTAACCCCGAGCTACACTCGGGAATACCGCCAAGGAGGTTAAAGGTCCAGGGCTGCAGTGAACCTGTCTGTTGGAACCTTCTCCCTAAGGACTTCTGCCTAATATATATCCAATCTATTTGTTTGGGACTACAAGGCATAAGCCACACCCACACCACAGTCCTTTGGGACATTTACCTGCATTCCCTGCTGCCTCCAGTGACAAATAGGTGGCATTAACTTTTGCTCCATTTTCTCCTGAGTACTTCTTCTGGGAAGCCCTCACTTGCTTATGGCGGATCATAAGCGTTAGGTCAGGGGTCCTGCGATTACTAGACATATGACATGATGCTGGCTTTGGTCGTAAGGTTCTTCAGGCAGCTCTGTAAGCTCTGTTGAGCCCCTCTTTTGGTAACATACTTACTTATACTTATGGGCTTGTTAGTGTGGTGTTTGCTGGGTTGCCCACTCATGAGTTGGACTGCTTTTGGACATCCCTATGTAACTGAATTACCGTCCTGTGTCCCTCCCCACTGTTACCATGATTTACTCCTACTATTGCTTTGCCACAAAACTGGTGCATGGTGACCGTGGGAGGTTATACTAGGCCGTCCTTACAGCTTTGTTGTGCCAGTCTCCAATCTCTAAGCAACAGCATAACCCTATGTACCTTAATTACCATCCTGTGTCCCTTTTTTAATGTACTCAAAAAAAAAGGACATTACCATAAGTTGAAAATCCTATATTTATTGATACTAGACAGGCTACATTGGCACAATGCAGACACGTAGCAGTGCCCAAGCATGCATTTAGATATCCTCTGGAGAACCCTAAACCTGGGCACTCTAACACGCCCCCTCATGCACCTTTTTTGCCCCTTATTATGAGAGGAAGCCTTGCTGGCAAGTAGGAGGGGGAGATTGGCTATTGGCAGTATTAGCAAGTTATAAAACTTCCATATCAGAACACGCCAGGATTTAGGACAACTGGTGAGCTCTAAAAGAAATCTACTGGTATGTTCAGGCATTACTTGGTGGCTGCATTTTTGCAGCGTATTTGATATGATTCATGATACTGACAGGTTTCCTTTTTAAACTAGAACTCTTACAAATAATTAAATATGTAGACCCGCTAGGATAGTATTACTCTTTGACTAAGTTGCTAAATTTGTACTACCTTGCAGTATTTCCTCACAGCTAGAATGTGGCTTTGTTGCTAGTTTTGAAATCTTTTTGTGAAAAGTTCACATTTTGAGTGAATAAGTGCAGTAGGTTAAACTCTGCAATGAGTTGAAAATTAACTGGAAATGCCTAACACTGCATCTTAACATGTAAATCTAATAATGTGTATATTCTTGGAGTTATGTGATGAATCTTTACATCCATGCTGATTGCAAAACTTGTGATTTATGTTATTTGTTCAGGCCAACAAATTACTTTATTTCCCCTTTTTTCTCACATCTCTGCTTCGATGTTTCATTAATACAGTGTGCAGAAGAACAGAGGCATGTCCCCGAGTCTCTATATCCTCATACCTACAATCCAAAAATGAGCCTGGATATCAGTGGTGTTTTAGACGTACCACATAGCAGCTACAAAATTTCTACAACCCTAAATGATAAGGTACACATGATCTTTTGAGATTTGACCCTGTGAAGCTTGTAAATGTAGTGACTCGCAGCTGTTTGGGTAAAAATGGTTGGCTGGTAAACATGACACTGACACTGTTTTGTTTTTTAACATTACAGGATAATGCGCTGCCAGATGAAGATGAGCAACCTAAAATTGCTGAAATTTCCCCTAATACCACCCATAACTCTGACAAAGCTCACAATGCTCCAAATGATGTTAAGGGAGGTAAATATTTAAGTGACTATGCAACAAAATGTCTTATTATTTAAAAAGTCAAGAGGAGAAGGTGGAAATGGTTACATTAAAAACAAAAAAAAACCTTTTTGTCCAGTAATTATCAAGTAGGTAAAAACATTAACCATTCTTATTGTATAGCTGAGCAAACTTGGAAGTTTCAGTTTTATATTTATAAAGCATACATATCAGCAAATTACACTACTTTCTTCAACACTGTCCTGTCCTATTTAGAACATAACATATACATTTCCCTTCTCACAAACATGCCTTGACCACAGCACGGTAGTGGACAATGGTGGTCTCTCCAATTTCTGAACTTTTTCATTTCCTTATTGTATGACTTTGGTGCCCCATCTTAATCTCCTGTAATTGTTTTGTCATACAAACCTGTTTGTTGGAGAAAAGAACTGTGTATAAAGAGCTGTGTATATTGTAAACCTTAATTTTTAATGTTGCTATATTTTTTTGTTTTTACTTTTAATTTAATTTTTGCATTCCTTTTTCTTTAATCAATTCCAGTTATACTTTCTCTTTCTTTTGCTGTCAAGTTCTCACACAGACATTGGAGATGAGGGAAAATTTCCAACGACAGTTGCAGGAGCTCATGTCTGCAACATCCATAGTGAAAGCTCAAGGGCAGAGATCAATATTAAGCAGAGCAGGTTTTGATACATCTCCCTGCACTCCGGAGGGTGCTCGTACAACACGTAATGGCAGGAGCAGAGTATTGGAAGCACGAAGGTATTTCTATAAGCCAGTAATAACCATATAGTAGTGATTTTACCAGCCAACCTATTGTTATCCTTTTAGGATCATGCACACTGCATTTTCACTGTCATATGTGTAGTTAGAGATGTGTTCAATGCAGGTCCACTACATCCTAATGTATTTAATTGTGTTAAACTCGCATGAATACAACATTCAACATTTTAAGTGAACATTGTAGCGTGCATTGTATATGCTGCCACCATGAAGACTGTCTACATTTTCCCAGAGTGCTCCTTATGACTAAGACGTGTAAGCTGGTTTGCTTTAATGGACTTTACAGTTTGAAATAAAGATACATTTGGAGGAGATTCCTTGTGTGCTGCCATCCTGCTGTAAACTGATGCACCTACCTCACTCTGATAATGAGCGTCTTCTCTTTTAGAAACTCTCGCCAGATGTTAACAGATCTAAACACAGAACCATCACAAAATGAGCAAATTATTTGGGATGACCCAACTGCAAGGGAAGAAAGGGCCAAGCTGGCCAGCAACTTACAGTGGCCTGACAGTCCCTCCCAGTGCACTGAACCTTTGCTGCCTCATAAAGTTAATGGTGATGACCAATCTCGGTTTAAAGAATCCTTAACAGATACAGAGATAGCTGAAATGGGTAAGAAAACTACAACTAGTATAGCACACATTTTGCTCCATTGTCCTTGTTGCCTCTTGTAATTATTTTTTTCTTCCACATTTCAGAGGCATGTGAGTTAGCGCATACTTCAGCCAGAGAAGCCTCAAAAAAAGAACCAGATCTTCAGTCTCCAGTTAAAGAGGACCCTCTGATCCCCACCCCACAGGCTCCAAGCATTGCATTTCCACTTGCCAATCCCCCTGTAGCTCCTCAACCCAAAGAAATGGTACTGCTTGTATTATTGTGTCAACTACTTTAAAATGTTAAACTTCTCTAATTCTGCAAAATACTTTTTTTGTTTTTTATTAAATATATGTTCTGACACTGTTGTCAGAAAGCCTGGGCATTGTTTGTATGCCAAGCACCAATCTACGAATATGAAAATACTTGGTCATAAAGCTTAGAACAACTCTGTACTCGGCTCTCTTGTACACTGGTGTCAGGTCGATTGTGCAAGGGTTTTCTTCTAGAGTCGGTCAGGAGCGACAAAAGTAACTGAACTCTAATCTACAAATATAGTCTTCACCCTCAACGTTGTGCCTTCATTGCATTCTCCCCCTCTGTCACCTCATTGTTGATTAGGGAAGTTGGTCATCATGTTGAGTGAGGTGCAAGATGGGAAATGTACTAATAGGATTGATATTTACCTATGAGGGCATCAAGGTTTTAAAGCTCCTGGGGAACTCTAGAAGATAAGTGAGGAGAGGTGTAGCAACAATCTTTTGCAACATTTCAGCAACAGAGGGAAGTACACTTAAAGTAAAGCAGTAGCACATATTCCCGTTTAACAAAGGTTTAAAGGAAAACGTTGATGATAATAATATGCCATTGTTCACTAGAAAATGCTAGCTCTCCTGCTGATCTAGAGGTTTCATTGCATTTTGAGTTGATGACCCAGAACAAGTATGCAGATCTGGAGTTCTGACTTCACAATTAAGTTTTTTTTTGCTGTATGCTTTTTTCAGGTCAGTGATGTAAAAGGTGTTGAAGCCAAAGATAGTCAAGCAACTAGCATCCTCAAAAGGAGGTCGGCAGTAGCGGTGTACATATTTTTTAACGTTTAAGTTTCTTTTAAAAGCATTCAGAAGCAGTATGAATTGCAGTGTCCATTAAAGTTACATATTCCAAGTGGCAATTCCACATGTTGGCAATAAAATAGCCAATTAGAAGGCATGCTCCTCCTATATGTCATGGCAGGAAGACTTCTGCACTCACTCCTGCAAATCAGTGAAAGTCAAGGCCTCACAGACTTTTGCAGCACCAAGTTTTTTGTACAAGAACATAGAATATTGTCTAAAGTGTCAAATGGGCTAGTTGGTGTATCTTCAACCTGAGACATTGTTGTTTTTGATGCTGTACTGCTGCAGAAATCATGTAACAATTCCTTTGTCAGCAAAATTCCTTATGTATTTAACATCTCGATCAGTAGGCTTGGTATTTCCATTCATGAGAATCGTTGTGGTCTATTCCATAACAAACAAATTAAAACCAGCACAGTTCTGGATTTAGTGATTCCACTGATAGTCTGGTCCAGTACTTGGACTAGATGTGACACACTAGAAATCCACCAATATTAAGCGTCTTTCAAAGACCTGTAATATTTAAATATAATGGCTTATGTGTAAATACATCTGAAACATAAACTAGTTGATGGAGACAAGTGGTGTGCTTTACTAAGCTGTTATTGTATAAAACCCAAGCAATATTAATAATAATAACACCCTAAGTTACCCTTTAGATTATCAATTCTTTCCAGAATATTCCAGATCCGTCAATAAACCTTATGTCTATGGATGCCATCAGACTTCACCGGACATCCCACCTGATTGATCTCATGCAAAATAGCAATCCCTGTGTTGGATATATTTCCCTGGTTGCTACTATTTTCACCTAGATAAGCCAATGAAAGACATGTAGGGCTGCATTTCCCCCTTTTCCTTGGTTAACCTAATGTGCTCACTCAACCAATCCTAGCATACATTTTTAAGTAAAGATATTCAGAATGAAACTCAAGTATTAGTAGTATCATGGCAGCAAGTCATGTAACTGTCCTCTAATTTATGTAGCTAGCTTTTATTTCTCTAAAGTGCACGAGGGTTAGTTTTTATTTACTCTTTTAATTAATTACAGAGTGAGAAACCAGCAGAAGAAGTGGAAGATAAAAAGGAACGGAGATTCCAGCTTTCTTCTTTAAATCCTCAGGAAAGAATTGACTACTCTCAGCTCATTGAGGAGCTAGGTAAAATGATCTCCGCTGCAGTATTTGGTTAATCCTTTTTATTCTTCTCTTAAATTAAACCAACAAACGCACATACTGTGCCCTGTTATGCCCTTGGAAACACTTATAAAAGACTGGTATCTTTCTTTTGTTTTCAGGTGGAATAGTAATAGATAAGCAGTGCTTTGATCCAAGCTGTACGCATATCATTGTTGGCCATCCTCTCCGCAATGAGAAATATCTCGCTTCAATGGCTGCAGGAAAGTGGGTGCTTCATAGATCTTATTTGGAGGCCTGCCGAGCTGTAAAACGCTTCATTCAGGTCTGTTTACTTGTAACGCTATCTCAACTGCAGGAGACTGTGAACTTTTTTTTATTTCCCAATGTTATGTTAAAGAAACCCTGTCATCATAAATGACAAAGGGTCTCTTTAAAGCCCACCCTTCCTTTCAAGCCAGTTATATTGATCCTTGCAGCACTTCCCAGGCTCTCCTTTCATCGAAGTCAAAGCAAAATACCAGGTGTCAGAGCTTCCGGAGAACAACCATATTGTGTTCAGGCCCAGCATTTAACAGTTGAAGGAGGACATGCTTCTCTATACCTGAAAGCACTGGGTATTTTGCAGCAGCTGCAATAGAAGAAGGAACGGCAGAGCAGAAAACACTGTGACGGCTGTGTACATGTAAGGGAGCACAGAAGGCACAGACATGCCTGCAAGACTAGGAGAGCTGGCAGCTTGCAGAGGAGGGGGAGCTAAGGTTGTGCAGACTCTTTTTGCACGCTGTCATGCTCTGAGCTGTCACTCAGAAATGTTGTCTCCTTTGTTCATTGTAGTTGGGTACAAGTGGAGGGAGGAGCGGCCAGCTATCTGACAAAGCTGCCCAGGAACCACAGTAAAAATGTAAATGAGGATATGTGCAGCGGGTTCCCTGGGGGATTTGACAAACTATTTAAACTTGTGGCAATACTTCTTTAAGAAGGCCCTGTCATTTTCTACCCTTTATTGGCTGAGTGGCAGGGTCTGTTAAGTCTTTGTAATCCTAACAATGGGCTTCTTTTATTTGCTCCCTTTTGGTCTGCATAATATATAATTAAAGGGTTTTGTTCTATCTGTTCTGAAAGTGCCAAGAGACTCGATTTTGACAGAAATCTTGTGAGGGGATAATATTTTGTGTACAAGGAGGGGTTATGGAGATGAGGGAGAGGGCTGGTTCTTTTTGTAATCCATCAGAAATTAAATAGGCAGGGCTGGTGCAACGTGCGTAGGATTTTAGAGCTCAAAAGACACCTTTTTGTTGCCTCAAAAAGAAAGGTAGGAGCACACTTGGTCTGGCACTTCAAGGGTAATTTTCTACATGTACTTCATGCGGGTTCACGTAAATACACGTCACCCTCTTGAAGTGATTATACCAAGAACACGGCTGCTGCAGCCATGTTTTGGACCCATTTTAAACAGCAGACGATTGCTGTTTCTGTACAAGTGATCCGGCGTCTATACAGCCACCGGATCGTTTGTACCAAGCGGTGCTTCCCTGGGCTCTGCTGTCCCCCGTGCGGGCCCCGGACCTGCACAGCGGGTCTACCCTGACAGATCTGAGGGAGTTCAGCAAGCTTCTAGCCGCTGATCTCTCCTCTGATCTCTCCTCTGATCACAGGACTCGGAAGTGATGTGTATTATATCACTTCCGGTGTCACTATTTACATTCTCCGGCTCTTAGAGCCAGGAGAAGCAGAACCCTGCTTAATCCGCTCCTTTGGGGTCCAAAAAGACACCTGATGTCTTCATAAAGAGGACATGTCACATCCTATTTGCTATTAGATAGGGGCATGTTAGCCCCTATGTGATGGCAATATAGTTGAGTGTGGAAAAAGAAAAAAAAATATTTTGAAAAAGTCCACGTGCCCGCACATACAATGCAAACACAGGTCGGATGAACCTATGTGCAAAAACTGCGCCACACATGTTGCATGCCGCAAACGTCGGAGTGAGAGCAATAATTCTAGGGCCATCAATCACTGTTAGTCCTAAACTGATAAGTAGTAAAAGCTTTTAAATCATCGCCTATGGGACATTTTGGGTATTGTCATTTTTTGCAGTTTTACAGGCGAATGCAATTATAAGGCTTGTCATCTTTGGTGTCAATTTAACCGGCTTGACCCCATCTTTTATATTTCACAAAAAAATTGGGTATTTTATTCTGTTACGCAAATACCGTGCAACATAAAACATTGCAACTAGCATTTTTTTTTATTCTACAGGGCCTCTGCTTTCAGAAAATATACAATTGTTGGGGGGTCTGAAGCTGTTTTTCTAGCCAAACATTTTCTATTTTGCAGTGACGTGCTTTAAGCAAACCATTTCTCTCAAAATGGTAATAAAGAGAAACTATCTGATATTAAGCAAAAGTTTAGCTTTATTGTCCTTTTATATTCGGAATGAAAACTATGACCTGCAGAGAAGCGACTTTGCACATTTTGAAATGTTATTCTTTAATGTGCAGCAACTTTTCATTGAGAAAACCAAGCTTGGAGGGTAGTATCAGAACATACTTCCTTTTCATTAATGATGAATTCATGTGTTTTTTTTTCTTCTAGGAAGATGATTATGAGTGGGGAAGCATCTCAATACTGAATGCTATCAGTAGCATCAGCCCCGTGCAGAGGTTGCTGGCAGAGGCAGCAATGCATTGGAGGAAGAAGCTGCAGAGGATAAAACAAGAGACGGGCACTGTGGAGGTATGGAAGCTTTTGCCCACCCCTAGGTTGGACTATCCCGACAGAACAAGACATCCTGTGTCCCTCAATAGACACGAGATAGAAGCAAGAACATATGCACTGCAATTTTATTTTCCTGGAGTCCACTGAGGGACTCAATGTACTCCCTCTCTGTGTTTATGATCATACTGTTGGTACTGCTCTGCTACAAAACTGAGGCATGCTGAGAGTAGGAGGGGCTATCCTGGCCTGGCCTTCTTTGTTCGCCAGTGTCCAGTCCTCCTGTAGGTGGCAGTATACCCAGCAGTATGAGACTTACTGTGTTCCTCAATGGACTCCAAGAAAAGGATTTTACAGTGAGTACAAAACCCTGTTTTTTCCACTGTGGTGCTTTTTTCTTCACCCTTTTTATTTTTTTTCATTTTTTTTCATGGTGGATTCTCCTTTTTACTTTTCCTAATTTGTTTCAATTAACTGCAGCCTGGCTGTGTCTGAGGTGTTTGGCCTTCGTGACCACACAGGGACTCGTGTACACACATACATATGCACAATCACATACAGACACACAAAGGTTGAACTTGATGGACCTGTGTCTTTATTCTACCTCTAATACTATGCAACTGTGACTGCAGCTGTTACAACCTCCATCCTGTTTGCTGCAAGTTCTGGGTTGCACTATTTCACCTCCATGTTGTTTCAGAAACCTTGTATTGCCATTAGATCAGGACTTGATAGGGCTGAGTTTAAAACCTCCATGGTGAGGGCCTCATTAGCTGAACCTTCTCTTAGCCTTCTTTCATACCTGAGCTTTTTGTAGCTTGAAGCTCAAACCTCAAACACTCAACAACCAAAATCTTTTAAATTCTTTCTGTTCGCATATGAGTGCTCAGGTGCCGGTATCACTATGCCTGAAGCTCAAAAAGGTACTTGAGCGACTTTTATGCAGAATGGGGTGTTTTTGGTCCCATAGTCCTCAATGGAAGAGTCTAGATCTCATTTTATAGTGTTCGTTTCATAGAAATGTACAGTACAGTTGAGTTTCTCATTCAGGGCCAGTGTGGTATTACAGCAGTAGTAGCTTCATGCAAAATCTAATTGTATAGTGATGTAGTTGGTTCCTAGTATATGTAGTAAGACCTCAGCCTCATATATTGCTCGCTTGTTTGTATAACTGGATAATCAATGGGGATAACCTGTTTACAGGCTGCAAAATGATTGTGTAATAATGCTGTGCTGTTCAGAATGTCACAGTATATGGTTTGCCAACAGCGGTCTCCTGCATGGCATTTGTTACTGAGTGTGTCTGCATAAATGTTATAACACATAGCCCTATACATAACATGTGTTGTGCCTATGTTCCATGCACATTTCATCTGTATGTTGTGTAGCGGTATAGGACATTTATGTGATTGCCTCTTACATGATATCCTGTGTAAATGGTGGTCTATGCTGCAGAGGTTTAGCACATTTTTTGGTGCCTTTCTACTTGCACTACCACACATATTTTGTACAATAGTCAAGCCAGTTTACATAAATTTCACAGGTTGTTTACTTAATCTCTAAAACTTGTGCATGTCCTTTGTTGTAATACTGTATTAACAGTTTAGTGCAGGCCTCATAACCTACTGCTACACAGGGGGTGGTCTTAATGACTTAATGCACATTAGTACCAATATACTCCCCCCACTGCCACAGGTGCTGGAATCAAGACCAATGCCAAAGGAATTTTGGTATTGCCTAGCACTACCATGTCAGGTGTGGATATGTATCTCCACCACAGCACATTCATGTTCTGGTGAGATTTTAGCTTGCACTCAGGATTTATTGAAAGGTTTTCTTAAAGGAGAACTATGAGGTGAGTGAATTACACTCATCCCCATAGTTAGTGCCGACGTGTGATGTTGAAACTGTCACAGGTCGGCTCTATTGATCGGGAAGTGAGCTAAAACATACCGCCGCTCGCTCACTTCCCGATCATCTCCCTGCAGAGAGTGAGGACTCAGTCACCGCTCCTCGCAGGAATTCCCCCTTCCCCTCACCGATCCTCCAGCCCTGACTGGAGGGAGGGGTGGGCATAGCTGGCTCTGCCTCTAGATAGGCAGAGTCAGCTGTCAATCAGCCAGAGGGGTGGATCTCAACAGTATTGATGGGATCCATCCTGGCTGCGGCACTCTCAGCATATAGCGGACAATAGCACGCTATATCCTGCGTTTTGGGTCACCGGAGGACGTTAGTAATAGAGGTGCACCGAAATTAAAGATTCAAAACGGAGATAATAAAAAATGTCAGGCCGAAACTGAAAATGTTTTTTATTTTAACTTTTTCAAACTTTTAAAAATATTTTATTTAAAATATTTTTATTTATTTAAACATTTTTATTTTTTACTCTACTTTTAGGGGCTTCGGGGAAATGTTAGGGATCTGTTTAGACCCCTGATATTTCCCTTTTAAAAAAGAAAGAGATTGAGGACACAAAGTCCTCAATCTCTTTTTCTGCAGTCCCCGTTATAAATGAACAGGAATCCTCTGAGTGTTCCTGTTCATTCATAACATGAGGACAGAGTATGCTTACTACATCCACAATCATCAATGAGCAGGAGGTGATGTAGATCACTTCCCATTCATTCATAATTGAGGATATAGCCAACATACCAGGTCCTCAATTATTTACAAACACTCAGCGATCACTGATTGCTGAGTGTTTGTACCTCTCTCTCCATCCTGACACGCTGTCACAGGAGGCCCGGCGGTGCGGGAGGAGAGCTGCATAAACTATGGGGGCTTGTATATGTCTTTTTAGTCTTTTTATTATTGGAGTTTATATTTCTTTGAGTAACTTTGCACAATGTTGCACCGGACAGAGGCCATTAGAGGTATTTTGGGGTATGTGCTTATATTGTTCCCAACATGACATAGACTTTTCACTGCAGTTATTGTCCCCCCTTTTTTATCACTCTTTCGAGAGAACCACATAGCTGGGTCCCCCATATCTGTAATACTCGCAGTCAGTTCTGTGGAAGGAGAGTTCTCCAGGCTTTTATTGCTCCCCAACCTGGTAAGGTCTCACTAATCCTCTCATTTGCTGCCCTGGAAGATGATTTGGGAAATCCAGAGCTGGCCTTACTGGTAACACTTATTTCCAGGTGGATTCCCAGCCCTTGTGTTATTTACAACAGGAAAAAAAAACATGTTTTGCTTCAGATTCTGTTCTTTGCTTCTGGTTTGCTGCTAACCAGTTCAGTGTTTCCTGTTTAAGGAGGTGCCTACCTCTCATGTGCTATCCTATAAACATGTACTACTAAAGAGCAACTCCAGGAATTCCAAAACTAACCCCAGCAATGGTGCTCCCTCTCACTGCAAGGGTTAAGTGCTTTTTTTGTTTGGGGGGTTCAAATAAAGAAGATATACTCACCTGATCCTTGGTCTTACCTGGCTGCTAGATTGATCCCCACAGCCTCTTCTCCCCCCTGGGCTCCAGCAGTCTAAGGACTGCTGACATCAAATTTAATGCAGGTCCATTGACTTGAGGATGCCAAGGGTCATTCCACAGCCAGAGCATGGGGGAGAGAAGGGAGTTCTGACTGCCACGGGACCAAGGATCAAGTGAGTGTATCTTCTTTATTTGCTCCCCTAGAGCAAAATGAGCACTTAACCCTTGCAGTGTGGGGGTAGCCCCGCAGCAGAGATAAGTTTTATAAAATCCCGGAGCTTTACAATATAGTCCTTATGAGCCTTCGTTTAAGCTGTTTGTTTTGAGTGTGTCAGTGACTCCTGCTTGCTGCCCTTTTTCATAGTAGTAAAGGTAAATTTCTACCTCTTGAACATTTGCAGGGAGCATTCAGTGGGTGGAAAGTGATATTAAATGTTGACCAAGCAAAAGAAGCTGGCTTCAAACGTCTTCTCCAGTCAGGAGGGGCCAAGGTATGTGTATCTGTATTGGTGTTATTTTATAGAGTGTATGCAAACCCAAACTGCACTATTTAGTATGACTGGCATTATGTCTCGCTGTATACAGTGGGGGGGG